TGGGCCATACTCGAGTAATCCTTACCTACATCAGTTACCACCTAGATATCACGCAACGGCGGAGGATCTCAGTCGTCAACCGGCTGGCAAAGCCCTCGATATAATGGGGCACCACGCAAGTCAGTATTATGCGGCACACAAGATCCACGAACTTCAGGAACGTGCCCTAAAATCGCCAACGCCTAAAACGTCCGCGGCATCGGCCAGTCCGTCCTCGGCCGGACCAACGCCTGCCAGACCGCCTAGCGGACCACCAACTTCTGTAGCGGGCCCAGGTCCACCTCAGGGTCAGGGTCAACAGCCTGGCAAACAACAAGGTCAACCTGGGGGTCAACAACAACAATCTGGGCCGGTYGATACCGGTAGTGGGAATCTTGGAAAGGACAGCAGATCGCCGCCACCTCAGAGACATGTACACACGCACCATCACACCCATGTGGGATTAGGCTACCCCCTGTTAACGGGACAGTACCCCGCTCCTTACGGAGGTAAGCCTCTCGTCAGACCCTGACAGTAAGGCTTCCGGCGATTCGCGGGATAATTAAATGAACGGAAAACGAACTCCAACTCAGATTGGACCAACGAGTCGAACGATCGTCGTATGTTTGATGAGACCGTGCCTCTCTCTTGGTTTAATAGATGAGAAATCTCGAGGAAACTCGAGCGTAAGCATCTTTCTTACTGATAGAACATCTCCTCGAAATATCGTTTTCTCCTTAATAGTAATCATGGCAAGAGTTATGTGAACACAATTGTAAAGACTTGAAAATCTAGCCTAGATTAGACTTGCCTATTTAAGAAAAGCGATCGATTGGAAAAAGAGGATCATCGGAGGGGGCCGGCCGGTAAAAAAGGTTGTTTCGAGTTAACGTTACCGTTCGTCACGCGTTTGCATGTCGCACGTGTTGTGTCCTGCGCTTCGGCGGAATAAACGATTTTCTTCGATCGACAGTGTTAAAGACTTTAATCGTATATCTATTTAATGATAGAAACGAGATTAACGCGCGATCGCTGGAGAAGCGGGTAAAGAGAAAATAAATCTCGGCAGCGTGTGAACCGCACACGCTCCGAGCGCGTGAACCGTGTACACCATATTGGTGCTTCAATGAACACACAATTTTCAAAACAAATTAATCAAGTGAACACGGAGAAAAAGATTCATTATTACATAGTATAAAATAGAATAATAAATAAAATAGAGTATAGAAATAAATTAAATTAAATTTAAAAATTCAATAAATTAAATTAATTTAAATGAAATTAAATTAAATAAAATGAAATGAAATGAAATGAAATGGAATGGAATGAAATGAAATGAAATTAAAAGTAACGAGGAGGACGACGAGGAATGCACGAAAAAAAGAAAAAAGGGAATAAAAAAACAACAGAGCTTTTTTTCTTCTCCTTAAGGAGAGATCAAACGAATATTAATCGCGTATTTGTAGCCTTCGCCGACCTACTATTATTTTGTTACGAAAAATCGATAATAAAAAAAAAACACAATTTTTTCTATAGAAAACAACAAGAAAGAGAAAAGATAAAGGATAAAGGAAAATAAATAATATAAAAAAAAAAAATAAAAAAACAGAGAAAAATAAGAAAGAGAGAGCTACTTCGACGTTTTTAAGCGCTCTAACTAGCAAACTTCTTATAAACGTGTATGTAATAGAATTCCATCGACAAAAATTGCAACGATCCTGAACGTGCGTGTGGTCATCATCATTATCATCATTATTATCATCATCATCGTCATCACCATCATCTGCATCTTCATCTTCATCATCATCATCATCATCATCATCATCATCATTGTCGTTTCTCTGGCGATAGCATTTGTTTCTGTCTATTTTTCTCTCTATCTTCTTCCTTTATATTTCGTTTTCTCTTTTTTGTTTTATACGATTTAAAATATATATATATATATAACTTACATACATACAATAATTGCATAGTTAACGGACTGAATATTTTGGAAATATTGGAGTATAAGTGCGGCCGTTATAAGAATGAAACATATATAAAAGCCGTGTACCGTCATAAGGTGCGTAGGTATTAGGTATATAGTTCAGACTGTGATAATTATTTATCGTACTACTTTCCGAAAACCACAAGAAAAATAAGAAAAATCACTTAAAAACTCGTATGATGTAAACTCTTAGTAATTGTCATAATACTAGTAATAATATTAATTGTAATAATAATAATAATAATAATAATAATGATAATAATAATATTATACATAATGATCATAATATTAAAATTAATAATAATAATAATAATAGTAGTATAATATAATAATAATAATATTAATATTAATATTAGATATATAAATGATCGGTAAACGATAGGACAGAGTAGTCCTTAATTTTTCGAACGAAACGTATGACTTGTATATATATATATATATATATATACAATTATATATATGTATATGCATACATACATATTTCGTTAGACTCTGTAGTCTTCCAGATGAAGCTTATTCTACATCTAGCGCTATCAAACACACATTCAAATTCATTGTATGAATTTTACAGATAGAATACGCGCGCTTACATCGGAAGTTGTGTAAAGCTTTTATGATACCATGCTAATGATGAAGGAAGAATAAAGAATATATATATATATATAAACTATACATATATAAAGAGAGAGAAAAAGAGAGAGAGAGAGAGAGAGAGAAGAGAGAAAAAAGAGACAGCGAAAGTTAATAATAAAAATCCCGCTAATTCAATTGCAATGAGGATAAATTTTCTTGTAAAATCGTTTTGATTGATACAACGCAACGCAATTTTTTTATCACAATTCATATCGAAAATAATATCAGAGCATCGAACTCTCCACGTTGTATGATTAACAACGTTTCGTTTAAATTTGACCAAATCGGATTTTGTTAGGGTTAAATAGAGCTTATCACTGCCAGAGAGAGAGAGAGAAAGAGAGAGAAAGAGAGAGAAAGAGAGGAGGAAGGATTTTTAAAAAACGCGAATGATACACGTGTTGCATCTAACCTTGTAATATTTTTCTGTTGTTTTCTAAACACCACATATAACATACACGTTCCGTAATCTCTCACCTCGTACTTCTCGCAAATAATAATAAACGCTTAAAAATTGGAAATTAAAAAATATCTATATAGTACTCGTATTGTACTCTCCTCCCCATCGTGAATGCTAAAATAAAATGTTTGATTAAATTCATATGTTTTGTAAAGGTAATATCGCAAAGGTCTCTCAACTACTAACGCACAGAACAATTATTCTTGGGCTGGATTGGCAAGAATTGCCAACGAAAAACGCGCGTTAAATAACAAAATTCTTGAGATTGATTGGAGTAGTAGTTATCTCGGTATTAGAAAAATAATTTGTATCAAAATCCCCCCCAAAAAAAAAAATTGGAAAAAATTAATGGCCTGCTGTCTGTCTCTGTGTGTTGCAGCGGCAGTACTAGCGAGTCAGCAGGCCGCCGCGGTAGCTGCCTCGGTGATCTCGCCATTTCCGCCCAAGTGACCCGCGGCCCCCGGTCCCGTACTACCCGGAACCGCCGGAACCAGCTCCGCACAAACTCACCACGCCTCGCATCCGGCTTCGAACGGTGCTGTCGCGGGCAGACAACCCTAAGCAGGAATCCTCTTCTTCTTCTAAGGAATACTCTCTGGAGGATCGCCTTATCCATTTTCTTTCAAGTTCATTTACTTGCTCGCCATCTTACTCTCTTTCTCTTTCTCTTTCTCTTTCTCTTATCTCAATCTCAATCTTTCTCTCTTTCTCTCTCTCTCTCTCTCTCTCTGTTTCTGTTCTATCTCTGTCTCATACCTTGGACGAGCCGTAAAGAGGCTGTTGGTACTTAAATCACGAAGAGAGCCCTGGACAAGCACTTCAGCTACCTTCGAAGAGATCCTCATTGAGAGAGCATCGTCGTCAAAGTCCGACTGAAAAGTAATAGTTAAATCTTGCCGAGAAAAATCATTTCTTTCGTCGAACTATTCTTATCACAAAGTATCGTAAACGAGATTGAAGAAATAAAACAACTTTTTACTGTCTTTCCTTTCTTCATGTTTGTTTTTTTTTTGTTTTGTTTTTTGTAACTTCGATGCAAGCGCGTGAACCGATTTTTGTGTACATACATATATATATACATAAATAAATACGTACATAGATACAAACATACATACATACATAAATAAATAAATGCATACTTAATGCACATATACATACTATAAATAAAAAATATGAACGTGTAATTTGAGTTCGGTGCGGCCGGATGCAAAACAAACATTTTGCGGTTCATCAAACATTTTCCTTTGTAAATAAATTTGTAAATAAAATATAATTGTAAGCATATTAATCTCGGACAAGCGTCGTCGTATCAATATATATATATATATATATACATATATATAAGATGTAACTGTAAAATATAATATATCATAATAGAGCTTAGTAAAGTTTTTATCTAATAAAAATGAATAAACAATTAATTAACGCGCGAAAATGATGTTTTATTAAATGGCGCTTTAGCTAGCGTGGAGAGACGAGACGAGTTATTTGATTCAATCGACTCACCAAATTATTTACGGTTCGATAAAAGAAATCGTGAATTAAGCTTTTGACAATGCAAGCTATATATATATATATATGTATATATATATATATGAATGTTCTATTCACGTTGGTTCAACAAAGCTTATCTTCGTCCTCGTACAAAGATCGATCCAATGAACCTCGAGGTCAAAAATATAGGAAATGACCAACAATCGTATTTTATCAATACGATTTAAGGTGTATAGAAATATCCAATTGAAAATGGAAAAGCTTTTTCGACCAGCGTGATGGTGGAGGATGAAAGGAAATAAGGAGTAAAAAAGAGAGAAGGTTTTAAATCGTGTAAATCGCAAAGAAGAAAAAATCCTTTCAATTGATGATCAATCATGTGAATCGAATCAGTCGAATTTTAATTGAGAATATATATATATATATATATACACTATATATGTAAAAAGAGAAAGAGAGTGAGTACGTAAGAGAAACGAATGAGAGCTGCGAGAAGTAAAGAGAGACATAAAAAAAAAAAAACATCTATAAAGATATCTCGTTAGACTGAACAAAACTACTACAAGGATATTTGTTGAGATCCTTTTTTTCGGAGCTGTTCTTGCACGATTGTCGAAAAAGAAAAATTAAAAGAAATATAAAAAAAATGAAGAGGAACAAAAATGAAATGTACATTGAAAAAGAAAAATCCGTTGGTTATACTGTGCGAGTACATCTTCTCACTTATTATGACCTTTTAAACTTAGATTACTAACCATTTACAAAGAAACAATTTTTATTGAACGTAGTTACGTAAGAAAGTTGCAAAAGAAAGTTGAACAAGAGAAGAGAAGAAAAGAAATGAGAGAAATTTTGTGTGTGTTTGTGTGTGTGTGTGTAGAAGAGCATATGTTTAATTGTATAAATAGTAATATTCGTGTGTGTATGTGTGTGCTGACGCGTGTGCATTCATTATTGAAAACGTCAAATTGAATCGGTGTAATTTTAAAACTTGTAAAAAATGGAATGAATGAAAATGCTGACTTTCAATTTTTGTAGGAAATAAAAAAAAAAGTGAGAGAGAATGAGAAAAAATGAGAGAGAGAAAGCGAGAGAGAGAGAGAGAGAAAGAAAGAAACGATTGTATGATACCTTGAAAAATTACCTACTAGAAAAATTTTATTACGCGTATTCAAATAAATTTAATTGATTTACATGTTTAACAAGACAATTGTAAGGAATATATATATATACATATATATATATATATATAGTAAAGCAACAAATAGATTTAAAAAAAAAAAAGAATGATAATTCTAAATAATTAGAATGACATTAAAAAAATGATTGTAAATTTGAACGTTAGAAAACGCTATTTGTTTACTAAAATAAATGCTAAACAAAGTTGTACTACAGATTATAAAGTAAAAAAAAAGATAAGAAGAAAATAGAAGTGCAGCGTCGTTGAAAAAAGATGATAAAGAAAGAAAAGAAAAAAAAAAAACAAGAAAATAAGAAATGCTATGATGATAACGAAAAAAAAAAAAAGTAAAAAAATGTATTACATACGTATAATATGGTACACATAAAGTATAAACTATCATAAAATTAGTTTTAGTAACAACTATTACTATTATTATTATTATCTTTTATTATGATTATTAATTATTATATTATTTTATTATTATCATCATCGTCATCGAATAAGATGAAAAGAGTGATGATATCAATTGGGGGACAAAAATAACAACTATTCCTGTTGCCACTGGTATCGGACAACAAAATGTAAATCTAATCGCATAGTGTATTATAAATGCCAAATCAAATCAAAAATAAAGGAAAAGGATAAAAACGTGTTTTTAATCGAAACAAAACAAGTAAAAGCAAAAACAAAAATCAATTCTTTACTAAATGGGGAGAGGAGAGATGTAACAGAAGAGTAGAAATGAAACGAGTTGCCTCAGTTTTAGTGGGGTTACTCATCATCAGCGGAGAAGAAGAAGAAAAAGGGTGGGCTTTAAAAAATAATGCTAAAGCTACGCTGTGATTTTTATAAAAAATATAAAAATAAAAAGAAAGAAAGAACGAACGAACGAACGAACGAATGAAAATGTCAGAGGCCCGAGAGTACATAATAAAAAATAAAAAAAACAAGAGTCACTCTGTATCATCTCTATTAATGATCTTAAAAAAAAAAGGACATTTTTATGAAAATGTGCAGATAGCCTAAGTACCTGGACCCTGCCCTACGTTCTTCGCAAGAATAAACGAAGATAAATAAAAGAAGAAAAAAAAAAAAAGGAAGACAAACTTACGTTCTACCGATTGTGTATAGGCTGTATAATGTATTTGCTTTGAAACAAATTTAATATAGATTGTTAATCGCTAATGATGGGAGAGAAAAAGAAGAAGATGATCGAGGAAAGAAGGAAGAAAAAAGAGAGAAAGAAGATTAAATAAAAGGAGCTGTCTCCAATCGTATAATAACGTTTCCATTCACAAATTTAATCCAATGTCAAGAACAACAACAACAGCAACAATAACAGCAAACAACAAACACAGCCCTCGCAAGTAAAAAGCCTTAATGTACCTAGCGCATTTGCAATTGCATATAACATTACCGGAAGATGTGATAGAAATTTAATCCCACGAAGATGATGACAAAACGTATCAGGATTGCCCACGCACACACAGTTCATCCTCGCCCTCGTCCTCGCCCTCGCCCTCGCGTCTCCCTTTTATCACCCTAATGTCTAATAGAAAACGAATGTAATTAGCAATTGGAGACAATCTCCTGACTTAAGATATAATCTAGCAAGTACTATTTGCCACGACGTAGCATAATTACACATTAAAAAAAGAAATCGTCGAGTGAATAAAAAAAAGAGACAAAGAAAAGAAAAACATTGAAACAAAACAAAATATATATGTATATATATATATATATATTATTATATATATGATGTATATGTGTGGCATATATAATATATAATATATATATAATATATATATATATATATATATATATATATATATTTGGACTGAGAAAACACGACACAACTAAACAAAAAGGACCTGTATTCCTCTCGTCTCCTTTTTTTTTAGAATGATAAAAATAGTGAGTCGTTACGCGCTTTATATATATTATACATCTCGAATATATGAATATACGAATAACATAAAAACGTACAGAAGCAAATACAGAAATGCAGGCATCTTGTCGTTAAATTGTAAGATATTGTGTTCAAACTCCAGAATGTACTCTGATTCCCTTCCCCAGACTACTATATATTAAATATATTGTGCACTATGCTCCAACTTGTCCATACAAATAAATATATGAAAAAATCTCAATAATGTTTTTATTACCGGGCGTGGCAGATTTAAATGTATATAAATTCTTTTTTGATAAATTAATAGTTGAAATATTACTAACAAAAATGATAATATTTATTAAATAAACGTTTTTGCATATGATTGTCAGAATAATTTGTACTTTGTTAGTTAGTACAGGCTTTCTTTTGACTCACTCGATTCTTACGACGCATGCGCATTATTCAAACTGTCATGTGTAGTTGCGCAGAAATATATTTAACTAAAATATATTATAATAATATATAATTGAGGTAAGTTTGATAAATATAAGAATGTAGATAAAGTTGAAAGAAGAATGTTTTTATACTTGGAAAATTGACATGTTCGACTCTCAATAAAATAATGTAAAATACAATCTATTTTCGTTAATATTATACTTTAAAATATAGGTTATATAGGCATTCTAAAGAGAGTTATGAACAACGATCGGAAACGTTAATATATCTTAAATACTTTTTTAAAATATAATAGAAGAACGTTAATTTGCTAAAATATGGATGTAATTGAATATAAATTAGCCTCAAAAAATCCTGTTTTAGTATCACATGTAAGTATTTTTATTAATTGATTAACCTCACAATTTTGACAAGACTGTTATGGTGAACCTTATGAAAGTACACGTGTGTATAAATGTATGTAAAAATGATTTACACCATTCTTTGTTATCCTATAGGGAGTATCTAAACTTTATGAAATAATCAAAAATAAGTACAAAGATGGAAAAGTTAATGATGTTTTAAAGGTTAGGAAAACATTTTACAGTTTACAAGGAACTACTTTATTTATTATAGTATATATTTGTGTATATTATTGTAGATACCAGAATTTAAATTTCTTACGTCAAAACTTGAAAGCGAAGATAAATTACTTACTTCGTCTGTATGTCAAGCATTAGTGAGACTTGTAGAAAATGAAGTAATATCTATTACTATGGCTCTCTGTACTTTGATATCATATATTTCTTCTACAAAGTATGTACAAATTTATGTCATATAAAATATAAATATAAATATATATATATATACATATATGTGTGTATAATAATAATTTTATCATTTCTAGCAATTATGTTGCCATTACTGTAAGCATAAGTCATTTACTGATATTGGATTTTAAACTTAATGCTACTGAAGATAAGTGTTCATATGCATCGTTAATGCCTCAGTTTCCATTTATCACTATTTTAAAAGAAGATAGAAATTCTTGGCACGCAGTGTTAGATCAAATGCATTTTATAATGAACCATCCTGATGAACAGTGTGTGCTGTATTATATATATTAATATTATTGATATGATAACAGTTATATACAAGGTGTTTCATAAATGCATGTCTACTTCAGAGGGTAAATCTACGCATTAAAACAAGTAAAAAATGTTCTCAATGCCTGCCTCAGCACAAGCTGCTTTATACCTCACATGTAGTAGTGTCACTGCACCTTATATGTGTAAGTAAATAAAGTTAATGATGTACAAGAAAGGATACAATATGGACTTGAGACTATATATACTAGCATTTCTGGTAATCAGAGGCAGGCACTTCGAACATTTTCATTAATCATCTATAAATCAAAAACTAAGGTATCATTACTTATATGTTCATTTGACTTTTTTTACTTGGTTTAGATTGGTACTTATTAATACCTTCTGAAGTATTAACATGCATTTAATGAAACATTTTGTATAAGATATTATTTATTTTAGGATAAAGAAGAATAGTATACAAATATTAAGACCGGTCTTTCTATTTATTTTATGCAACCCTTCTTCAACTTTATCAGATGGTTGCAAAAAAAAAACTTGGCAATTAATTGAATTGAGTAATGCTTTAGAATTGCAGATCGAAATTCTATTATGGCTTCGTACAAATGATATAGATAATTGTTTGGAAACGTATTATACAATTTCTGGATTTGCAATAGCATCTCTATCCAAAAATGACAAAGATACTTGTATAGCCTTACTTCCATTATTGTCATCTGTATGTATATGGTTTCTTGAACATGGTTTCGATCCTATTGCAAATCTTGACACAATATCTACTATTATAAATAAATATAATAATTTATCGGGAAATATTATATTGGCATTAATATCCGAAATGATTGTGATATGTCCTGTATTTTACTTAACTAATGTTTTACAACTATGTAAGTATACGTTAATAATAATTAATTCAATATTTGTTTTAACATGTAACTTATAATATTTTTGAAATTTAATTACAGGTGAACTTGTATTGAATAAAATGTCATGCAATATAACATTGATGTATGTGATAATAGCATCTATATTGAAGTGGATGCCTTATCCTTCTGTATTGTCTGCTGAAGCATTAACTAAAGCTCATACTATAATAAATAAAGCTCTTACTGAAGTAAAATGGACAAAAGAAGCCAACAATTCCTACCCAGAAGGAATATTCGCTAAATTACTTCATTTTGATGCATACGTTCAATTTTACACAGAAAGTGTCGAATTGTTAAATACAGTAACAGATAAGAATATTTTATCATGGTTAAAAATGTTATCAAAAAGTCCAATTGATTTACGTTTTAAATATAGATTAATACTTTCTGGTTTGTTTTTACAAAGTAAGAATGTTATTATAACAATAGCCATTGGTGATATACTTATGCAAATCACTAAAGAAATAATCGTTTTTGCATCTCACATGTTACCACTGATCATGCATAAATTATCAAAATCTCGTGATCCTGAAGAGTTGAAATACTTACTTTTTATATTACCGGAATTAGTAACAACAAAAGAAAATGTAGTATTTATAAATAAGACATTGCAAACATTATTTAATACTGAAGGACCATTAAAATATTATGCTCTCAAACTCTACTCAACGATGAACGATAGAGATCCACGCTGTTATCAATATCTTTCATCAGCACTTATTAAAACATTACAAACTGATAAATCGTGGTATGCTGATCTAGCTTGTGCTGAAGTGATCAAGCACATTTGCGAAGAACGGCCAGAATGTGCTGAAGAACTTGTTCCACTTATATCACAAATATTAAATAAGTGTGTGGATAAAAATGGTAGTATTGCAACAGCGCTTGCACTTAAAAGTATTTCTGCTCTTTGCAGTTCTTCTGTTATTCACTTTTCCTCTGTTTGGAAAGTTATAGCACCAAAAATGAGAAAAGAAAAACGTACAATTGTTATAAAAACCTTATGTGAATTCTTTGGGGATATTCCATCTTTTACAAATAAAGGTAGTTACTTAGATGAGACTTTGATTAACGATATACTAAAGATATTATGGTCATATGTTATTCAAAATGATCCAGAGATAAGTGAAGCTGCACTTAAGGCAATAGCTTCCTATCGATTGGAAGATATTACATTAGAAACTTTACCGGATGATTTTAAATCTGATATTGCTACATCAACTTCGACTGATACAGAATCAAAAGATATATTTCAGCATATACCAGGCACGTGCTGGATCAAAATGTTAGAGAAAGTCAATAAAATGACTTTGAATGCAGCTGGTAATATTTTAATTTCATTTATAACACGCGAAGTTTCAAATTTTCGATCTGGAATATATAATTGGCCATATGGAGAGCCAAATGATTTCAAATACTTACCAGAAAGAAGTATAATAAGAACAGTCGGCGAATATATAAGACGTGTAGATAGAACTCAATCTATCAATGAAAATGTCGTTTTAGAATGTTTACGAATACTTGCATTCAAATATCCGAAGCCTTTGCCAAATGTAAATTGGAATTTTTTACATAACATTTCTGAAATATCTCATAAAGCTAAAGAATACTGTCTCGCTATTGCATGTCATCATTCAGTCATATCATTGAGTGCCAGAAACTTTGTTGAACAACATTTATTAATGTATGATTTTAATGAAAATCTACAAGAATTATTAGAAAGTAAAGAACATGAGATATTATATTCAAATCTAGAGATTCTCTGTGAAGCTATGCAAATACAAAAAATGAAGCCATTGTTAGATACGACATTGTCACATGTTATGGCAAATTTATCAAGTGATGATGATACAAATGTAATTTTATTCAAGAATATTATGCAATCTTATGCTAATGCTTTAAAAAATGAAACAATAAATGATGCTATTCGATCAGTGCTTTCTACTACTTTAGATAATCTTTTAGATCAAGTAGACTTAACGCAAGATCATTATAAACCTTATATTTCTGCAGTATTAGCATTACCAGTTGAACACATCGAGAGAATGACATCGCCTAATATATGGTGGGAAACACCAGTTACAAAACTGAAAAATGCTATAACTATTAGGGCAGAATTATCTATAAATAGCATTCAAATGCCTTTGAATTGGATGAACGAATTAATTAATCTAATTGCAACTATGCCCAGGTAAGGAAAAATATAAGTAAACGTCATAATGAATCACAATGAATTTATGAGCACTGCTATAATTCTAATAATGTTCTGTTAAGAAAATAAAAATCTTATATATTTGCAGTGTACAATTATATTTGTTACAAGAAGTTCGAAGAGTGCCAACTGAATTGCGATCTAAAATATATACAGTTGATTGGGCTATCGATTTTATAAATCGTATTCAAGCACTTATACCAGAAATATCTGAATACAGTCAAAAAATAATATTTTATTGTGATATTTTTTTCATTTCTATTATTTATTTATCTGGAATGGATTGCATAATATTAGATACAAATTCTATTATATCTTCACAACAAGTTAGAACAAGATTATTTCCACAAGCTATTGCTAGGCTTGCTGATTTACAACATTGGAAAAATCATATGATTCCTCAGGTAATCTTTAACAACTAGATATTTTCTATTATAGCAGACATATACAATTATACATGTGAATAACTTTTAATTGATACTACATTAAGAGTAATTTTGAATAATATTTTTCTCAGGTAATGGAGTGGTTACATCAAATGAGAAAATGTCCTATACCGGAACTCTATAAATCTACATTTCATAATTCATTAATCTCCTTAAAACATCATCCTCATTACAATAAAAAGTGGTTTACTTATTTAGCAGAGTAAACGATCTACAAGATTTCAATGTATAAATATACAATGATACAATTAATTTACTTTTTAAACATTCAATTCTATATGATAAACACACACATTTCTAATAAATATCAAAAAGGGCAGTTTTTTATATATAAAAATTAGAACTATCTAATTCTAAATTTCTAGCTATATAATATTCACCTTACAATACTCATTTGATAAGCAGCTATAAATATATATCTATATTTTTATATGAATATATGGACAAAAATATAAAAAAAAAAAAGACTTAAATCAGATAAATATTATATGTACACACACATATATATATATATATATTATATACACATTGAACTCGTCACATATGTTGTATGTGACGATTCTCATAATGCTAAACAGATGTTTCACTATTATCCAGTGCCATTACTGTTAATGTGCTTGGTCTTGACCCGGTTAACACCTGATCCTCAGGTAAACGCATTCTTGGTTCTAATATACTTCTTTTAGTTTCTACGTTCTTCTTTATTGGTGTACGACTTGGACTAGATTTTTTACTACTTGGATAAGACTTCAAAAGGCGAGCTCTAAAAACCATAAATAATCAATACCACCACAGGACTATAATGGAAACCATTGATTTGTTACTTTATTCAACATATTAATAATAATGTACTTACGCATCCATTAATTTAAGAAACAAACGTGTATATACTTGATATTCTTCGTCCCCAAATTCTGTTGGATCATGTTTAGCATGTTCATATAAATCACAAAATTGATGAATCAAACGTTGACCACTTCCATTTAATGGTGTAGCAAGTGTCGATAATAAATACGCTCTTAAATTTTCAAATGGATGCCTTTTTAAACAACTATCATATTTTGTTATTTCAGCTTCTATATTAATAAAAATATTCAATAAAATATATATATATATATATATGCATTTTCAATAATTATTAAATATACATACCTAAGGTTTTAATATCGTCTACAGCTTTCAGTCTAAAATAATGTGGCGGAACTTGACTGCCAGGAGTTAAAATATATCTGGAGTCACTTATAAGTTGTGGTTCATATTGAATTCTTGGTATCACCTCTATTCGTCTTTCAATTTCTCTTTTTAACGACTATAATATACTTACATTAATTTAAATTTGTACTTTGATAAAAATCAAATAATTATAACCTTAAAATTACGCATACCTTTTTAGCATCGTGTCCAATAGGAATATGTGGTCCACGTCGTGAACGTAAAGCAAATCTCATTATTTGACGTTTTGCAAAAATGAATAATAACAATATTGTTAATACTCCAGCAGCTATAAATATTACTATAGTTACACCTGACAATTCTTCAGCCATGCTTGTACTGTATTACTATATATATAGCAAACCATTGCTACATATATATATATATATAGGGTCTAGATAATAAAGTATAGGCATATAGATATACGATAATCACAATATAAAAATAATAATACAACTTTTATAATATAAATTTTATATAATACAAAAATGATTTGACAGATTATAATTTAATTACATTTTTCTTAAAATATTTTCAATAGGCCTTTTTAAAAAGGTTTCATTGACTTCAATTATTTCTCTCAGTAAATCTTTCTGTTCTTCCGATGTAATTGTATTTGCTTTTAAAAAAGACAAAAGTAATTTGCTAAATTTCATATTTTTCGAAAAAAGAATTGCTTTTTCTAATAATAGTCTTATTAATTTATCAAATATCATTTGGTCTACTTTTACAGATAACAATGTTTCTAAAATAGATATATGCCACTCTTTTAATTCCTTTGTGTTTTCTACATATTCTCTGAACATAGAAAAATAATATTAATGAATATAGAAAAATAAGTTGTCATATTTGTTTAATATAGTATTTCAACACATATTTTGGAATGAAATGAAATTACTTACAAAATAAGAACAGATCTTTTCACAGGTTGAAAAGCACTAACGATAAAATTAATAATCGATGAATCTTTTAAATCAATATTTAAAATAGGTATGAAAATAAATTTTATAACTTCATCTGGAAATTTGTCAACGCATTCACCAATACCAGATGTGATTAATCTTGATGATCCTTCTAGTTGAATTATCTGAATAAAAATATAAGAATTACAAATTGTATTTTTGTTAAAGAATAATAAATAAAAACCAATACCTTTGGTAATAACACATAAGTACATATGAGACCCATATATTTAATTCCATCTTCTAGATTAATATCTTTGATCGACAAACACAAATTGTAAATACCTTTAATACTTAATTTTTCACCTAAATCTGTGAAAACTTTGATTAGATCATTATTCGATAGATTTTCTAAATGAACAAAGTCCAATATTCCATTATTTCGTTCTAATCCCTCATACAAAACTTCAATAATATCACATATTTTTAAAACGACATCATCTTTATCTTCAGTATCTTCTTTAATATGATTTTTTGTAACTTGAGTAAAATAAAATTGAGTCGAGGGTAATTGGGTGGCATTCATAATATCCATTGATTCCTTGATATCCATTGCATCAGATTCCTCAGTATCCGTGTCTCCATTATCTGTTTTCTATATGATTATAATTATAAATAAATAAATATGGCGATCATTATTTACAAAATAAAAATTAAAAGATTCTTACCTTGTTTCTTATCACTGTCCACCTATAATCAGCTTTACAAATGTCATCTTTTAACGCATTTTTAATAGTTTCAAGTTTCATTAAAGCACGTTCAGATATCGCATAATTTCCAAAAGAATTTTGTTCTTCCATAATTTCCAACGATGATAGATTCGCATTAAAATGATGATTTATCAAGCATTTTTCCTAAGACAATTTAATATTCATTTTCAAAGAAAAAAAAAAAAAAAAGGAAAATAATAATTGAAATGACATAACGATTCGCGCCAGAAAAAATGATGAAAGTGATTGGGGGAAATACGGGAAAAGCCGAGGATGTTGCGCATGCGTAATAACTTCGTATATAATCGTCAATTTCCGTCAGATCAACCAGTCATTCGTTCGAAGAACTACTTTGCGCGGGAAGTTTCACCTAATACAAAATAAATTATAACGATGAAGACTAATTAAATCTTGTGACATTTTTCTCTCCTTGTTTAGAATGCACTTGTAAAGAAAAGGAAAGATGTGAATTTTAAATTTGTAACAATTGACAAAAAATCTACATTGCAAGCATATCTCCTAGTTAAAAGTGAAACGGTGTATATAGTGCTGTTCGTTTATGACCAGTTGACATCCACATGGAGGGAGATTCTCCTTTGATTTTCATTGGCTAAAATAGATAACTGTTCCCCCGCCTTTTCTTGATAACTCTGACGTTATTTTCTTGATTAATAGAAAGGCTCATAACTATTAATTGGATGCATAATAAAGAAAGAAACAACAGAACTCGTTGAAACAGAGTAGGAAAGAAGTTTAAACACTGATGCAGATTGCTTTTATTCTGTGTGGACCTTGAGAAACATCCAAAATGTGAATAGGTAGAATGAACATATCATTTTTCATGCCACTGTGCCACCTCAAAGAACAAACAGGAAAAAAGAACTATACTATTTATTAAACATGCTACGTACCAAAGTGTTTTTCATCCCTCCTTCTTTTTCTTTTTCCATTCTTTTTAGATTTGTCTCGCTTGCGTGCGCGTGACGTTTAGTAGCTCAGTCGCAACTGATCGCAGTGGTTCGTCACGTTAAATTCATGATTATAAAGACGTCATCATTTTGTTGAAAGTTCTACGACTGGACAGTACATTGTGTAGCTCTTCTATATTTATTTGAGATATACCTTTCAAAAAAGAAGTACGATTTATTGATAAACAATTGATCTATCTTTCCTTTTCACGTGTCAACAATTAATAATATACAAATTCAAGATTGTTTTCAAAATCTCGTGATAATAAGGTAAGTGCAGATGTAAAGTACATTGTTATTAGTTGACAATTTAAATGAAAAGCTGCTTGATTTATTCACAATTCTTAAATTACGACGCCGTATTTATCATTTTAGATAAGTAATCATGTCGTGTTTTTTATTTTCTGTAAAAAAGAAAAAAGCGCCAACGAAGTAAACACATTCATTGTCTTTTCATCATTTTCTATTAGATACATAAGATAATATATAGATATTAGGAATCATTTATTATAATTTAATCATATTCCATGAATTAATTGAATAAAATACAAATCCTTAGTTACAAATAAAAAATGCATTATTTTCATTCCTCTTAGATTTCAAGGAAATTCTTTATCAAGTAAACATTAAATATGATTTATCGATGAAGATGTTCAACTGTACTCAGAAATATTTACTTACTTACATTGAGAAATGCAGTTTGCAACATGCATAGAATCGAAGAACAGATACGTTTACTCACTACTGTATTTTTGTGATGACTTTTGAAAGTAGAATTTGCATATCGGTGTGTGTGTGTGTGTGTATGCAATGATGAAACCAAACAAAGTATCAAAATTAATCAAGATTATGTCACATGTTGGAATAGATTAAAAAAAATGAAAGATAAAAGGACATACTCTCTCGTCATATCATTTTATATTATTATCATAAAAACACTGTATAAAAATGTAAAAAAAAAAAAAACACAAAAGATATCTATACAGTGTGTACGTTGAAGATGTTACGAACGATTGTTGTATTTGTAAATGAATTTTCCTCTGCAAAGTTTCATTATAAGAAGAACGTTTTTGTGAATATTATTTTTCCGCGTTTGTGGTAAACCAAATAAAATGGATAATGATCAAAAATAAAGGCCTTGATCGAAAATAATCTGCAAATGGAGATTATCGTAGAAATGCTTGAAATATTTCAATGAAGTATTTCTAATCGATTACATAATCAATTTGGATATGTAAATTTGTACGATGTTAAACAAATGAAATAATATTTTGATGAATATATTATTAATAAATAAATTCAAAGATTAGTATACTTTACAGTAAAATATTCTTTCTAAGAAGATATCCATTAATCATTTTCATTTTCATTTTTTCTGTTTTTTTTTTTTTTTTTTTTTTTTTATAACGAAGATTTATCTCGAAGATTTATCTACAAGAAGAACATTTGTTCAAAATATCACGAGTTAATTAAATGTTTAGATAATTCATTTCAATTTCTTATGATCTAATAAGAATAATGAAGTTATTATATTTACAAGATTAAAATTACATTATTAATAAGAAATTGTAAGAACGAAAAGGAAAGATTAAAAGAGACAACCATCGCGTCTTTTGTTTCGTCTGTTTTAACATACTTATTATTTTGATTAGCACTACTGCTAATGGTTACCGGTTTTACCATTGGAAAACCCAGATCACGCGAGGTCGTTTGGTTTATCATTTTACATTTACTTATTTCAAGTATTATGTGCCTTTGTCAGTGAACCGTTTCTCTTTATGATGATCTGTTTTTTACATTGAATCAGCATATAGTGCATAGATCACCATTTGTATTTCATTTATTTCTACTCATGTTGTTGAAATTCATCTTAAGTGTTCGAACTTATCGTATCCCTTCTCCCCCTTTTTGTTTTTTTTATACCGGATACATATAAAAGATAGAAAGAGAATACTTCAGTTGATCGATTTTATCATTTGATAAAAATTCAAAATGAGTATCTACTTCATGAATTGGTTCGTTTTAATTATGTAGATATTTTTAAAACGATAAAGGTGTCACGTATATTCCTATTTATAGTTTTACAAATAAATATTTCATTTACTATACATGTAACATTACAATACTTGAAAAAATAAAGAGTAAACAAGTTGTTGTTAATCTCAACAGGATATCAAGTTTTCCTCGAGAATGCCGATACTTTCCGATTTCTCTCGACGATTTCAATTATTGACGACCGATGCAAAACCTGATCCACCACGTGTACCTATTCAAGATTATACGAATAATTTGCAACAAAATAATGAAGAGGAAAAGAAGAGAAAATTTTCTATAAGACAATTAATATCAAAGAAAAATAATTGTGAACAAAGTAATATTGCAACACCATTGCAACGACAAAAATCAGCACCGAGTGGTGATGGTGATGGTGATGGTGGTGGTGTTACTACACCTTTTACTACTTCCGATTTTTCTCCTAAAAAACCAAAAAATCTTGATAACGATGACAACGACATAGACAAGGAGGATCTACCTTCAACAAATACTTTTAGGGAATATAAAAAACCAAATGTTAAAACGAAAACGAAGTCTCGTACAACGAAACCTTGTAAGTATACCGAGTATAGGTGGCTTCATTTAGTTATTGTACAATACAACTGAAATAAGTCAAGTTGATTAATATTTGCGGTTCTTTGAAATGATAACATATTTCTTAAGAATATGCTAATGAATGATTAGAAAGTAGATGGGATCGTTCTAAATAATTCATGAGATAAATATGATAATATGTCGGTCATCAAGAATTAGATTATATATTGATGGATGTGCAAGTTGTGTTAAACGTTTCAGCAAGTCATGATATATGTATTTGATAAAAGCTCGAACGAATATCCATACTTTTATTTAGACTATCGATAAGACTAACAGCAGAATATCCTGATAATATAATCCTTTAATCATGCAAACAAAACTGACAATGGTATTAGCAACGAAATGTATATATATATATATATTTTAAAAATATGTATCATAGAAAATGTATATTTTTTTTTGTCTTTTTATTTACAGCACAATCAGCAAACGTCGTCAATTACAATATTGTTAATTCGAATGGAGTGAAAATTGGAGCAAGGACAAGTTATATTTGTAATATCAACAATTTTACAACAGATAAATCTGTCCCAATGGATACTACTAATTGTTCAAAACCTAAATCAAGATTAATGCCGGAAAATGTTGAATCGTTGACTAGGTGTGAAGATGAAATTACATTTGATGATATGTTTATAATAAAAACTCATATTGGTCATGGTTGGAAAGATGTTGCTAGGAGACTTTCTTATTCAGATGGTCAGATTGAACAGTTTGAAGAGAATTATCGACATAAAGGTGTAGACGAGGTAATTCATTATTCATTTTGTACAATGTATTGATTTTACTTTTCAAATTCTTATACTTTAATAAATATCAATTTATATTTATTTCAGATAATGTATCAGTTGCTTTTAGATTGGAAACAGGCTAACACGAAAGATGCACAAATTGGAAATTTAATAGATGTTTTATGGTTTTGTCAAGAGTATGATTGTGCGGAACGAGTAGCCAATTCTCGTACAAAATTATAACAACAAAGTGATATGTGCGTGTGATATTTATAATATAAATGCAATATCGAATAAGATTAAATTTACTTATGTAGTATATTTTTATATTAACTTACAATACGTCAGTAATATTAATCTGACATAATGGACAAAGTTCCATCATAATGGAAAATCTGTATTTTATTACCGACTGTACAATATATGCCGCCATCTAGCGGCAATAACTGTTACTTTATCTTACCGACTGATAAAAGATGTACCGCCATCTAGCAATACTGGCTATTACTTCATCTACATTACAAGTGATTTTTTTTATGATAATTTCCAACAAATTATTTGATTTAATAGAGTCATTTTAAACAATTGCATACAAATATATATTGTTTCCTTATTTACAATATTTTATATAAATTACAATTCTCATTAAATGTTTACATATGTGATGCAGATCTTTCATAATAATATTATAATTGATTTGATAAAAAGATGAAGGAAAGAATATTAGTAAATAGTTTTAAAATATTTACTAACTGTACAATAAATATATAAGCCCACAAATAATAAATAATATTTAATAAATAAGAAATTTCTATTGGTTTATAGAAAATGATGATTGTGTGTATCTTTTCTCATAATACATTTTTATAAAAGAAACAAAATCGAGTACTAGAAATGCATGATTTAAATTATTAAATGCAGAAATTTTTAATACCTACATTATTTATATTTTATTTCTAATAATCCAATTTTGCCTGTGAGAAAGTTGTATTTGTTGTTGTTGTTATTATTTCACTTTTATTTGCTTTTTGATTTTTATCCGAAAAAATGGTACTTTTGCATTTTTCAAATTCATCAACCATTTCGTTAATGCTCTTGTTTCCATCTAAGACAACGACTGGTGCTGGCAAAGAAAACAAGCTTTGTTGTAGTAGCCATTCGTCGTGTATTTGATGAATTTGTTGCAAGTATTCCAATGATACAGCATTTTCCTCTTTACGAGCTCGTATACGCATTCTTTGGTAAACAACTTCTGGACTTGTTCTTAAATATACTATATAATCGATAAACAGTATTAATGAATAAAGTATTCTAATATTAATTCAATATGTAAATAGATTAGTGTAAATCTTACTTATCATGTCTGTTTCTATGTTAGCACTTGTTATACACCAATTGTACCAATCTTCTAAAACAATAACTTCAATATCTTGCAACATTTTACTACGTTTCATATTTTCTATAAACAATCTTGCACTGTAAACCGATCTCTCCATGATTTTGTAAGGTGATTGTGTTTTATAAGTATGTAATTGAAGCATCGTTAACTGTACATAAGATTGGAATAGAAAAGCGTACCGCTTTGGATCTTTATACATAAGATCCTAAAATATAATTATTAAATTAATATCACATATGTATCTTTGATGTATCTTTGACATATTATTGATAAAAATAAAATGACTTACTAATAGATTAACTCCTGCAACATCACGCCATAGTTCTACAGGTTCTTGTAAAACCACCGCATTATCATAATTTTTGAAATGATTTAAAAAAGTAGTCTTTCCACTTCCAATATTACCTTCTACGCAGACTGTAAATGGTCTTTTGTAAATCTTATTAGGAGTTCCAGGCATTTTTTTTAATATATTACAAATTTGTCGAACTGAAACAATACATCATTTTTGTCATTTAATTTATCAAAGAGAAATTAATTGTATCAACTTATAAACATAGTTACAATATTTAGTTAATAGAAGAAATAAAATTATAAAAGAAAAGAATTTGATATTCTAAAATGACATATTTGACGTTTTAAATACCCTTTAATACACCAGTCAACAAAATTTGTCTAACAATATTACAAATTCACTGTAGTTAAAAAAATAAATAAATAAATAAATAATCAATGTTATAACATATTATATAAAAATTACATTATTTCACACGTTATCAAAGAACACTAAATAATTCCAAATAAATGATCCGTTTACACAATCTATTACTAAATATACTAAAAGTGATACGTTAATGTGAGTAAGTGACTGATACCGCCAAAATTTTGGCGCCAATACAGCGCACCCTACAGATGTTAGGTTAAGTTAATGAGAAAGTAATTAAATCACCTGACATGTTTCTATGCATAATATAACATAAATAAATATCGATGATGGTCATCGAATATATTAACTCTTACCTAAAAGACCCATTTTTGAATATATATTACAAATATTAATATTAAATATTTATTTTCAGAAAATAATAATAACATATAATAAAGCGTTATTGTTTAACCGGTCCACCATTTTTCTACTATGCAATTTTCAATAGTGATTTAAGGCTAGTTTACAATAAAAAATGAAAATGCCATAAAGTGGAACACTCAAATAACTATGTCCAATCATATTTCATAATCAATGTGTTTCACAGGAAGTATATAAAAATACAAAACGGAAATACTAGAAAAAAGACCCTAGACATGCGTCTCGTTCATTGAGCATAAATATTACTATACTATTGTTATTACGCGGGATCAGGTTAGACATTTTTAAATTTCATTGTGCTCTCTTCAAGATCGCCATTCAGTTAACCCAAGTAGTGTTTGATTTTTATTTAAATTATCTATTAAAGTGACAGCTTGTAATCTTAGAAAAAACAACATGGATAGAAGAAATAGAGAGGAATATATGCAAAATTTTACATTTCCTTTTTGTGACAATGTTGTGAAATATAAAAAGATTGTGAAAATTGGTCAGGGTACATTTGGGTAAGTTTCTAAACTTTGCTATTTCAATCTTTGTATTATATTATATATATAGGTTATATATATATATATATATGTATATATACTGTCTTTAGATTTCATATACAGTTTTATGTGTATAATTTATATATACTAAAAATATATTTATATATATATATATATATATATATATAGTGAAATGTTTGTTTTATTTCAATTTTTATATGTTACAAAGACGATGGATGTACCATGTCTTAATTATCTTTGGATAATAAAACATTTCAATAAGGAAACATTTTCAAATATTAGATAATAGTTCAAGTTGAAATTCAATTATATTTTCTTTTATTCAATAACAGTGAGGTATTCAAAGGGTATAATACGGCAAATCCTACCAAATATGTAGCTTTGAAAAAGATATTAAAAGAAAATAGTTCACAAGAGGTATGTATATATGTTGTCATCGTTAAAGTGCATAATTCAGTTAATTTATGAAATAGTTAAGACGTTTTAGAAGTTTACTACTTTTAATATTCACATGATTTATATTATTTCTTATTTTCAGTTTCCTAGAACAGCATTGAGAGAAATCACTATACTAAAATTATTGAATCATGAAAATATAGTGAAACTTATAGAAGTTTGTAGAGCCGGAGGTATCTATTTTTCTATAAATTTTATTTATTTCAACAAAAATAACTCTGATTCCAAAAAGTTAGAGGTTATCTTTGAATGAATTTAATGATTGCATTTAAGAAAAAAATGCAATGTGGCGATAATATTTCCTGTTTCATTGTAATCTTATAAGTTATAATTCTAACTTGTAGAAAACAGAGAAAATGAGTATCAAACCACTTTTTACATCGTATTAGAATTCTGCGAACATGATCTAGCTGGTTTATTATCCAATCCAAATGTTAAGTTTAATTTAGGAGAAATTAAGAATGTGCTTAAACAAATTTTTAACGGTCTCTTTTATATACATAAACGAAGAGTAAGTTTACGTACAAATAATTCAATACGAATATATTTATGGATAATAATAACAAATTTGTGATTAATCATTTTTTTTCCAGATTATACATAGAGACATTAAGTCTTCAAATATTTTACTTATGAAAAATGGTGTATTGAAGATTGCTGATTTTGGTTTAGCAAGACGATTTAGTGGAGTATTGGCTGAACAAACAAAGGGTTATACAAATAGGGTCGTTACTCTTTGGTATAGGCCTCCAGAATTACTGTTGGGAACTAGGAACTATGGTCCACCAATAGATATATGGGCTGCTGGATGTATAATGGCTGAAATGTGGACAAGGTATAATGTATTTTAATTAATGAAATATGAAAGAAATCTTAACTTATTATATATTAAAAGTATGGGCTTTTAAAAGTGGTTGTACAGGATTATTAAGCTAATTTTCAGAACGCCTATATTGAAAGGAGATACAGAACAAAGGCAGTTATTATACATTTCACAATTGTGTGGCTCTATAACGAAAGAAGTTTGGCCAAGTGTAGTAAAATGTCCATTGTATGATAAAATACATCTGCCCAAGGATCAAACAAGAAAAGTTTGTGAATGAATTCATTTATGTTGCTATATTTGTGTTGATATGATTATATTAATAATATTATATTGCATTAATATTTGTCTTTATTCTTAGATTAACGAAAAACTGGGGATTTGTATAAAAGATTCAAATGCTCTTGATTTGTTAGATAAACTTCTTACTCTTGATCCTGGTAAGAGGTATGATGCAAATTTAGCATTAGATCATGACTTCTTCTGGACAGATCCAATGCCTTGTGAATTAACTGAAATGTTAGCACGATATTCACATAGCATGTTTGAATTTTTTATACCAAGGCGGAGTAATAATCTTACTATTACTCGAGTACCACYCGGTGCATCAAGATCTAATAATGTTCCTGTTACTCGAGTACCACYCGGTGCATCAAGATCTAMYAATGTTCCTGTTACTCGAGTACCACCCGGTGCATCAAGATCTACTAATGTTCCTGTTACTCGAGTACCACCCGGTGCATCAAGATCTACCAATGTTCCTTTTACTCAAGCATCAGGCGGTGCATCAAAATCTAATTCAACTTCCAATAGATAGTAAATTTCTTAGAAGAAATTGAACATTTGAAGTAATTCAATAACAATGTTATATGTTATATGTATTACTTCATTTTTTAGATTAATTTTTATAAAAATGTGCATCATAATTTAACACATTAAGCGCCGATCCCATGTTAAAGCGGGTTTCTTAGTTTATCGCTTGAACGCTGGCACTGAAATGTTGCAAAATTGTTTTGTTTGTTTAGTAGGTGTCTTACACGTTGATTTACATTTACATTTTTAACGAAAAAAAAAAAAAACAAAACGTACGTTGTAGTTGAAACGTTGCCGGCGTCGGAGCGTTAAATTTCTTATATGTCGCTTAATGTATTAATATGACAATCCTTGTTACGTCACAGTAACTGCCATGCATTCTGATGATTAGTACAAAATAGATTATATAAAACGTGTTATACACTTAAGTAAGTAAATTATATTTTGTATAATTTTTTAATAAATTCATTATCCCCTTTTATGCTGTATGTTGAAGTCTTGTATTGTTGAAAGCATTTATGAAATGGTATTGGCCCAAATAAAACCTAAATAAATATTGTTATTATTCAAATTATCGTGTTAAACTGAGTGGTAATCGAGAGTAACTTCTCCAGTGTTAAAGGTTTCAAACAATATTGCAAATGGTATCTATATTTTCTAAGACAAGTATACAAAAATATATTCATAGATTTATTATTATTATTATTGCTTAGCTTTCGAAATTACTTGATCGATTGATTTTTATATACAATATACTTTTTATTTAGATTTAGTCATTTTTTTGTTTATTAATAGATTACCAATATTATTGGTAATATTATTATATAAAAGAAAATTGATAAGAATAGAAAAAAAAGCACAACAAAGTAAAATGAATAAATGATTTTTACTAATTTGTCAATCTAATTTTCAATTAAATTCCATGATTAAATAATACTAAATTATTGCAATGCATTTAACATTGCATAGATTAAATGATAATGCATATCACATCAAATTTGTATTAATCGTCGTCATTGAGAAATTGATCCAATGGATTAGGACCCATCCTCTTTGGCTTGTTCGTAGATGAATTTTCAGAACTTTCAGCTAAAAAAATAATATATATTTATAATAATAAAATAATCATTTATTAAATAATGACAATTTTTAGCTGAAAAAAAGGTACCTGTTGCTACAGGTTGAGTACTTAGGCAACTCAACCATTCCGTCATACTGATTTTTCTGTCATTATTGATATCACAATACCTAGGCAATCTTTTGCCACATTTACGAAGCAACTTATTGTTAGAGACCATGATGCGAAAACTCTTCCATTCTTTTCTTTCCAGTACCTATTTGATCAAATTTCATCAAGTTAAACGTGTATTACATCAATGATATAAAATAATTACACACCTTATTTTTGTTTTTATCAAGCATTACAAAATGCCACGTGGCTATTTGTTCTTCTTTGGAAGCCTGCCAGTTGGCTGTTATTTCACTTGAATTAGAATCTTTCATTTTCTTTTTCAATACATCCATCAAGTTTCGTAAGAAAATTTGTTTTTTAATCTCGGGACATCCTGCGGGACAAAAGAGCGACAAAAATGATTTAAAAAACAAGGTAAAAAGTAAATATTAAATAATGCATACCTTTTATTGGTCTGCTAGGTGTAGGTGCTGGATCACAATTTGGTTTAGTGTCTTTCGAAGACGTTCCAGGTATAGGTTTACCCGTGTCTTGATAAACACACCAACAATAACCAGAATAACATTGGACTTGTTCGTATCTACCATCAGGTGTGCATTGTGGTATATAAAATTTTTCTTGTGAATTATTTCTTTGATCTTCCATTACCGATAGCCTATCCGATAAACAGTCCGTTGCTGATGCATTAAAAATTATTCTTTTATGTTATTTACTTGGCAAAAAATACAATAACTAAAGAAAATAAATTGTACATGTTTTAGAAGAAACATACCATCATTTTCTTCTTTGGTATCGGCTGGATTATCAGAATACGTGGTTCTTGTATCTGTAGGCGAGGCATTACCTTTGAGTACTGGAACAATGCGAATGAAGTTATAGAGATTACTATATAGTATATTAGTATGTCAACAACATTTTGTGTGTTAGTAGTTTAATAAATAACATATTTACATATTTACATGAAATATTAGAAGATTAATAGTCGCGTATAATAAATTATCTTATCGCTCGCTAAACAAATATCTTTGTTTAAAAAGAAAATTGCACTAACCCAAAGGACATTACAGGACTGAAACTCACCTTTATCAGTGGCCTGTGTCCTCTGGTCCTCGGGGACCTCGCGAGGATCTGCTGCGGAGTTCAGCGACAAGAACAAACGTACTAAATGATAACAATGATGTCACTCAGCCGACCGGCTTTACCTATATATGTACAGTTTGCTTTGCGTCATTCGCGCACCATTGCTCAAAAGCGTAGCAGCAAATTATAATTTATAAAGGGGCGAGGATGGGTTGTGTGAATGAATGGGGGTAAGGTGATTGTGAATGACAAAAGAAGAAGAGATATAGTGAAATCTCATGCACGCACGGGATCATGCTATAACGCATATATTTTGGACTCCATTGTGTTCAACGTTTAAATCGTGTAAACCTATCGTTTTCAATAAAAAAAAAAAAAGTACGATTTATTTAAATTGCACATTTAAATATAATTATTGTAAATTTCCTTTATGCTAAAGCCTCTTATCGTTCTAAATACTTCAATCTCCTTTCTCAATTTTGTCTCGACCTGAAAATAAGGTATTTATTGACGAAAGATCTCGCGTGGGTGTAAAAAACTTGAGACGCGACAACGAGAAGAGAAGAGAAGAGAAGTATAAGGAGGATAGTTTTAAACGGGCGCGTGTTACGCGAAGTCAATTGCTTCAATTCCTTCCTAAACGAGAGAGAGAGAAAAGCTACGTACGTGTGGGCAAACTTCCTGCAGAATTTGTGAATATTATAGCTCAGCGCGACGAACTATCCAGCGGGTCTCGCATTTTACGATATATCCTGTCTCGAAGAACCATTCTTAATTTATCGTCGCGACTTAACATTAACGCGACTTTAGTTTTATCCCTCGTTGATAGTCGATACGCGTATCAACGTAAGTTCTTGCATCTTAATAATATGCATTACCAAGATCAATGAACCACCAAGTAGTAAACGAAATCATAGTATATATTTATTTGACATCATGCTGGTATATTGATAGAAGCTTTCAAGCGGATTAGAATTCGACGCGAAGCATGTTACATATTATTAAACAACAACAACAACAATAACAAGAACAGAAATACATGCATGTGCATTTCTAGCGAGCCTGCCTATCTTACATCCGGTGGGAAATATTGTTTGCCCATTATTGTTGCACTTATTAAATAACAAAACAAACTTGTGCGAAATTTTAACGAAGCTAAGGAGAAGGAGGATTATCTCAACAACGCAAAAACTGCATTAAAACAATTTTTCTTCTCTGTCGCATTGTACTTTTTTGTTTCCAATATTTTGCAATACATGCATATCTCTAGTTTTGGTATGATAGATTATATATAGGAGGAGACAAATGTCAAGAGGAAAAAGGATTTCAAACGTTTGATCAATGAAAAAAGTTCTCTCTTTTCTATGTCCAGCATATCAAAGAATGAATCTTCGTATCGTTCAAAGACTAGTACGAGAACGATAGTTTGTTTTCGATAAAACGCAAGTTTGTGTTCTTGCTTAATGATTATTAATTATCCTACTGCACTTAAGGATCTCGTTATCGTGTATATATGAAGAATGATCGTAGTTTGTTTATCTTTATTTTTTTTTTTTTTCATTATTTTTTCTACCACGATCGGTCCAAAAAGGTTTATTCCCGACGATGACGATATTTCACTCAACACTGGCCAATCATCGTCGTCGTTCGTCGTATTCCTCCTTCTCCTGATCTTCTTTTACACCCCCATCACCTTCTTCGTAGAGGTGCACGTTAATCATACTTTGAAACATATATTATTAGGTTTTTTTTTCCAACAAATAGCAGAATATATTTATGGTATTTCCCTTAACTTGTAATGTTGCAATATATAAAGTTATAAAAGAGTTATAAAAGAATTTTCTTAAGAACACAAAAAAAATGTATTGAAAAAATGTTAGGATACTTAGTCAGATAATTTCAATCTCTCGTAAAATATTTCAACATTATGAGATAAAGGAAACATCCTGCATACGTATATTTGTATTAGCAAGAAATTGTTTTTTTTTTCTTTCTAGCAATTTTATTATACGAGAGTTTATTACTAACTTCTTCATTTTTTGAAGAACACTTTAGTCGATGACAAGAAGTTTAACTAGAAGTAGTAGTATTTGAAGTTTTGAATCTTCGGTCAAATAAATACGATAACGTTGACGCAGAATTCCTACTGAAATCATAATGAATAATAATAAAGAAGCATACAACAACTCTAAACGTAAAGATTCAAATAGAGATAGAAGAATTTGTTCATTAACATAGTTTAGGATTAGTATTGTAAAAAAAAATGTCAGAAAAAAAAACTTACCTTTTTTTCGTCTCTACACGTTTCCATTTTCGTTTCTTCATCTTCTTTTCGCATATTGTTTCCAATAATCCTGTCATTTGATTAGCAGTCATTTCAACCACATATCATTTTTTTTCGAGGATAATTTTAACAATGATAGCAATACTATTATTTTGTGTACCTAATTATTTTTTACTATGAGAAATAAATGTCATATACAATGGTAACGAGATCATCTTATTTCCAATTATTTTAATCCATAGAACGAATGATTTTTGAAATATTGATAAAGATAAACTAGATATACTAAATATTTAAATTTTAATATCCATTATAGATATGCTGGACATAATTGTATTTCTTTTACCAAGAATCCTTAAAAGAATCTATAATCATTTGTGCAGAATAGGAGGAGGAGGAGGAGAAGGAGGAAGGGGAACCCCATTTAGTATATATAATGTACTTCCTGATATAGCAAAGGATAAATGTCTAAAGAAAGATCAAACTTTGCTCTCTTGCGGTTTCATATTTCGAATAGTAACGTAATTATATTCCAATAGAATGATTCATCATGCGTGCGTGACTAATGCGAGGAAGATTTCGACCATCCATTTAAAAGAGAAAGGAAGGAAGAAAGAGAATAAGGAAAAGAAGAAGAAGAAGAAGAAAATAATTATTCGGCTTGCAAGCATCGAAATAAAAATGATAATGAATTTTTAAATTATTTATCAATGATGACAGTTCGGAAAAAAATGGTAAATAATAATCGTGCAAAGGATATTCCACGCATTTAATGGGCTTTAAATCAGCTCGCATTCAGGACAAAAATATTTATCGATAAAATGATAACAGAAAAAATAAAGAAGAAGAAGAAGAAGAAGAAGAAGAAGAAGAAGAAAAATTAGGTAAAAGGTGATACACGTAAAAGACTTACGAGTGAAATCGTTGGATAAGCAAGTACCCCATTCTTGCTTAGAAAGTCTGAGATCTCGATCGATGTCGCAGGTTCGGGCGAACGTACGAGCACATCTTTTAGGTTTAACTACTTGTTTAGCAACTTTGCGAAGTTCCTTGTACTCCGTACGATCCAGATAACCATCCCCATTTAGATCTAGAGTACTGAATTTCCAAGACAATACGCGTTCCACGTTTTTGTCACCTAAGAATGAACGAACGAGATCAACGCGAATTTATCAATGGATTTATTTGGATTAAATATAGTAATAAAAATATGAAAATATAACAGCGTTGTTTGTTTATTCTGTTAAATTCTAAACACTCACCATTCGCTGATATATTAGTTCGTTTATATTCAATCCTAAAATTATCTATGAGATTATTATTAAACTTGGTTTTTTCAAGACGACCACATGCATTTCGTTTTGTATTGTTATAGTGTCCATTTTCCTTCAAATTAGAGGAACGTCTCTTGTGTCCACTCTTAGTAGCAATGGCAGATCTGAGAGCGAGTTTCTCGCATCTCGGTCTTTGGTGCCTTACCGAGGTATTCGGCAGTGGACGTCCTTGCAATGTTACGCACCAGCAAAACCCGGTCTCCATGTGGCATTGCACCGGCGCAAATGTACCATCTGGTCGGCAAACCGGTCGTACTCTCGATCGTGACGACAATCTCGCCGAAAAGCATGCTGGCATTTCTAAACAAATTTCGTTAATGTTTTTTTTTTTTTTTTCCCCTACCTATTCAAACGTATTCTTAATTTATTCTTTTTTAAATAGAGAATCGTTAATAATCGTGTCTCAAGCAATGACTAATACTGTCTTGCTATCTTTCCACGAGTTTATTTAATCATCTAATTAATAGATATATTTACAGTTGTCATACGAACCTGGACAGGGTCCGGTGTGTTTAATTAGGATAGATTCACCCTGGCACTGCTTCGAAATGACCTGACATTGACTAGGATACGTGACACCGTCGCTTCCACATACCGGTTCACTTTTATCTTCTATCGTGCACTCGGCTAATTTCTTCTGGCATTGTTCCTAGGATAATAGAATTATAAACGAAAATGTACTTTGCTGAGCGTTTAATGATTAATTGAACAATTTTAGATTGAACCAATTATTCTTGAATTAAATCTTTGTTCGTCGTATAATTAGTTATATGTAATTCATTAATTGGTGTTTACCCAAAAGGAATAAAAAAAAAAGAAGAAAAGTCGTAAGCTATCTCATATGTAACCGAAGGGTCTCGCATACCATTGCGTACGTAAAACGAGGAACAGAAGAAGAAGAATAAGAAGAATAAAAGGATAAATACTCTGACAGAGAGTAGCTGGCAGTAAGTATTCGGAAGGAACTGTTTGTACGTACGCAGGAATGCATCAACGTGCGTGTGTGTCGTGAAAAGCAACAAGAAAGAGAAAAGGCCTCGTAAGATATTGGCTGTCTCCAAACAGGTTTCTTAGACGCTTTCTGTACCTGATGCTCTTCGTCCCGTACCGCACTACACCGCACTGGACTATACCGTACCGTATCGCTACGGGGTTCACGGTCTCGCATCAATTATTATTTCTGTCTCATCATCGTTATTCCTTTTACCTTATATTAATTAAACAAAATAATCTTAGAAGCGATAGTAGATAGTAAAATTTTCATCATGTCGATCTTAAACAAATGTTTCGAGAGAGATTAACAACGTTGTTCTTTTCTAACGATTATGTCAAGCAGAAATTCGTCTCGTTTATTTACGAATTTTTTTTTTTCTTTTTGAGAATATTTTTCGGTTTATTTCATAGGAAAGAAAATTCTTTGAAAAAAGATACAAGTTCGAAATAGAAAATCGATAGGTGTTCAGGTATATAAAAGTTTCATAAAAAAAAAAAAGAGAATAATCAGAGAAAGTAAATATCGAACTGTACGAACGTGTTTTCGATACCAAGTCTTAGCAACGAACGAGAGAGTAAAAGTATTCAAAATAGAATACATTAAAAAAAAAAAAATAAGTATTGATTTATTTATTTCTCTCTCTCTTTCTCTTTCTCTCTGATTTCATTGTAAAACGTATGCAAACAATTTATAAACAATCGATCGAAATGGAACAACTAGCTTTCATGTTTTTATCATAATTAATTAGGTATATCGGGAGAACGTAGAGCAGTGTTATAAATAACGACGAGATTCTCTTATAACGAGATGAAAAGAAGAGAAGAAGAAGAAGGATCGTGAAGTCGAAGATTAAGATATCAATACGGAAATTGATTGAACTCATAATTTACTTGACGCGTACGATGAGAACGACGACGACGGCGATGATGATGATGATGATGGTGATGATGATGGTAGAGAACGTGTTTCTAAATGGCAATAAGCCTCTTATACAGTATCTTATAGTTCGATTATATTTCAAGTTGATTTTATTCCCGCACATTTATTTCTCTAACGTAAATATAAGTTTATTCGTCGAAAAGATAATGACTACCAACGAGGTTTTATGTAATTCAGTTATCGTTCGGTCGTCGGTACAAACGAACGTAAGTAAGTACGTATATACATATATATATATATATATACATAGATAGATATATACTACATAAGTCTCGCGCTTAATCACTAACAGAGAGACGTACAAGGCGCCTATTATTAAATGTAAAACACGCTCTTTAAATGTTCGATCATTAGTTAGAGGTACCGCCTTTCACCTTTCTTTTAACTTAACAAGATCATTGGCAAACAAAGGATTTCTTGTTTCGTAAGATAAGATGAAATATTTTATTCCTCCCATTTCAAATGTTCTTCTTAACGATGATGATGATGATGATGATGATGATGATGATGATGATGATGACACTTATGATACTCGATTTAACATTTACACATAATGAATGTTTAATTAGACATAGAACCGATAAATAACAAAAAATAGATAAAGCGAGAGATATTTATCTTAGTTTGGTATAACAAAAGCGTATCTTCTCATCTAAAACGTATGGAGTTTAGTAGACCTATCTTTCTGAACATGTACAAAGTATATATCATTTAAAGAAGAGGGCGAAAAAGAAAATATACTTTGAGCTTTAATCTGGCCGCAGATATTTGTCTTACTTTTCTGCTCGCAATCAGTGTAAATAAAACGCGTACTTACGCGTCGTAAGTTAAAACGTTCAAAGAGAGAATGTTGTAATCCTTTAATAATTTTCATATATCGTGTGGCGCCTCTCATCTTTCTCTCATTCTCTTGAATAAAAATTTTGTTTGCTTTTTTTTTTTTTACACACGTACTTCATGGGACAGAAATCGTAATTATTTATTTATCATAATTCTCGTATTTATCATAGAGATATTGTTATTATCAAATTATACAGATGATTTTTTTTTAAACGTCGAACATTAAAAAACTATTTAGTCGATTCAATATAATAGTCATTCGAAATGACTGTAAGATGTTTGTAAGCTGCGCACATTTAGCACAACAGATATCACCGCTTGAGAGCACGATAAGTGTACAAGTTATGCATTGCATAGAATAATGGCTTCAATTATCTGAGGCGAATAGTCGGCAAATGCTTTTCTTTTTCAACTATTTAATTGAAACATAATAAACGATCTAAACCGTTCGATGACGCGCCGTCTGCATCGCCTCGTGTGAATWGTTTCAAAAATAATAATAATAATAATAATGTTATCGTTTAATTTCGACAATAAGTTATAATAATATTTAAAAAAAATGTTGTTGACAATACCTCAGCGGAAGTGATAGGATTAGCGGCAACAAAATGTTGAAAGAAGATCGAAAGTAAAACGAGACGAATTGTCAGCATCAGCATCGTGTCCTCGAAGGCAGATGATCGCGCGTCTTCGAGGTCGATCAGGATCAGAAACACGCACGTGCACGCACACGCTCAAATGCATTCACTCGTTCCTGTACTCCTGCAGACATATGCTATCCTCTTACTCATTATTTTGTCTGTTACTGGACACTCGAATAGCTAACAGATAGACACTCTTCTTTTCTCTGTCTATCTTTCTATCTTTCTCTCTTCTATTTTCCTATGTTATATGAAAATCAATTTTAAAAGGTTTTCATCAAGTAATATCTCTTTTTATTAATCTATTTAAACGTTGTCACTTTTGCAAAACGTTAGAAATGATTCACTGTTCAATATTTGATTGGATATGAAGACAAGTAAACGTAAAATCGGTACTTAACGGGACCATCGCATGCCTATTCGTGGCAAGTGCTGTCGGACGACTAACACTTGCCACTTGCTTACTGCCGAAGTAACCTGTCCCGGCTTTCAACAGCGACGGCTCTTTCCTGTGCCTGCCTGCCTGTCTGCCTTCTCTTGACTTGCCTGCATGGCTCGGCTTACCCTGGCCTGGCCTGTCCTGTCCTGTCTGCCTGCCAGTCTGCTTTCCTACATGCATGCCTGCATGTCTCTAAGCCCGGTCTTCCTATCATTTAACAAAGCGATCCCAACTACCTCTCTCTCTTACAGCTACTAATTCTACTTGTCAATTTGAAAAGAGTGACGAATGTTTTTTTTACTGAATTTGACCTTCCAACATGTGTTTTGTCTCTTTTACAACATCCTATGTCTTTTCGTTTGAGAATATCTATCTTATTTTTTCAAAGAAATAATATATCCTGAAATTTTATATTTATTTAATTTAATAATAAATATTAAAAATATAGATTTATTTTTTCAAGGATTTTTTTTTTCTTAGAAAAGATCTTGTCTTTCTTTCTTGTTTTTTTTTTATTTGAAACGTGGAAACACACGAGCTTAACAATGGGTTCGAATTGTTCAAACCAAACCAGTACAGCCCCTAACAATATATTAAATATATATTAAATGCATATACGTATTTTGTTTATTTATTAGAAAAAATATTTAAATAAAATAAAATAAAATAAACTTACAATCGATCAATGAAAAAATTCACGATAAATATTTTTTAAAATTCGTGTTCCGTCTTGAAATTTGTGATATTCGAAAATTGGATAGCCAGTGGGTAAATGCATTTCACGATCAATCTTTTTTAACGAAATGATTTTCTTCTCTTCGTCTTCCGATACGTTCCAGATGTTACGAAAATATATCGTAGTATCCAAATTGGTTTTTTTTAAAATCGACGAAGACCACACGCAAGCGTGTACCTAAGAAAATAAATGAACTGGTAATACTGCGTGTGTTATTCGTTTATGCATGAATTAATAGTATAGCTTACAATGGTATTAGAAATTCGTGAACACGAATTTATCGCATCAAAGATGACACTAAACGTTCTGGCAATACGCATCTTTGTTTTTTCTTCACAAGGATCTTCTTTCTTTGTTGCATCATCGTTAATAATGTAATGATCTATGTCGTCTAACAAAAGTATTGTAGGTAATGAAATAAATGTATGCAATTCTGCTAATTGTGTTGCTAAAGATTTGTAATCCGATAGATACCTATAAATTTATTATTTTTCTATAATTAATTCTAATAATTTCCAGTAATAATAATACATAAATGTTTGTTGATTTTTTTTTCTTTTCTTTTACAAGAATATGTACATTTTTATTTTCATACTTCACAAAAAAAAAAATATTGAATGTTATGTACTTTATTTGAAATACAACCAAAAATTAAACTTACAAAAATGTAATCAGTTTATATGTATAGTATGTTGAAGGATTACTTTCATGACAAGCTGAAGGAATTTGTTGTAAAGGTATCGGTGTGATAAAGAAAACACGATTACCTTCTTCTGCCCAATAAATGGCTGCCTGTTAAATAATATATTTTAACTATTCTACTTAATTATATTTCTTTCTAATAGAAAAAATGTCTCTGTTTACACCGAGAAACATGTAATTTATTTAAAATATAAATTGTTGAATAATGTATCTTTATCTATTATCTTTATTCATTACCATGATATAATATCATCTATATACCTCATATAAGAATGTCTTGCTCAATTTTGCTGGTCCATGTAAAAGCGTCGTCTTGAGATTTTGTTTAACAGCAAACATAATATTTACATTTTGTAATCTAAATAAATGAAATACTTCAGAACAATATAATTCAATATACAGAAATATTGAAAAGTATTTAAGTTTGTTTTTTAAGTAATGAAAACAGTAATAAGTAAACTAAAGTTATGTAGAAACAGTGTTAGATCATTTTTATATAATTCTACAAAATAAATGATTAAATGATCAAAAGAATAAAATTGACATAATCAAGAAGATTTGTTCAAATTTATTGTTATAATTATGATTAAAACAAACATAAACTAACAATCGGTAAAGTTATTTATGAAGTTATAAACTTGATAACCTCACTTTTATTATCTTTATTTTGTCACTACTTACATTAGTACTATAATAACAAACTTAGCATACTTTCTTTTTTTACATGATAAAGTAACAATAAAATACTGTTAAAAAAAAAGCAGGGTATATGACACACATAAAATGTAACAAATAAAACCTTGTGAAGAAAAGAAAGTTAAATGTCACACGACGACGACAAACAAATCCTAAATGACAGATCTAGTATTGATATTAAATTAATGATAAATATTATAAATATTTTATAAAGGTTTTATAATAAATAATACAAAGTTGTTATTTATTTGTACAAGATTATAATCAGATAATTATAATAAGAGAGTATCTTTTGAAAATATATATATATATAAGTAACTTTTAGTTTATCACGTAATCTTTTTCAAACACGAACGAGGGAACGGAAGTTTAACAGATAATAACCAATTATTCTGTAATAATGTAGTATACGTATATACATACACATTTTACAATGATTTACACACTACTGATCGAATATTCACATAGTAATAACAATAGATGACAACGCCCACGAATAAACTTCCGAGAGACAAGCCCTATTAATCCGTCTCTTCGAGTAGATCATAAGAAACAAAGGACAAACGCTAAATTTATGTCAATGTGTGTATATATATATAGGGTAGATCAACAATTTCTTATCATTAGAAATATCTTATTTTAAACGTTATTCTGTAAATAATTAATAAAATAAAATCTATGTATTATCAATAATAGATAATGAAGATAAGTAAGGTAGTTTTCTTACCGATGTGGTACTTTGAAAACTTCTCAATTACCATCATAGTTTTAAATCACACAGGTTATAAAAAAATGTATAAAAAAAAAGCTTTTTTTCATGATTAATATATAACAGAATAAAAAATGAATATTAACGATATATTCTATACGAGTATTGTAGTTTAAATGAACAGTACAGGTGTGACAGAAGATGAATTTGATAATATTTGTGAGAAAAAAGTAATGTTGTAAGGAACAAAAGTTAATTTTTCACCCTGTATAAAGAAATAGAAAGAAACGATTAGTATTATACAGTACATACGTACTAGCATGATTTTTCTGCTCGATTGTGTTTCAAGTCAAGAAGGCGATCTCGCGTAACGTATTGCGTTACGAATTACGTTCTATCATTTTAAAGACCTGGACTAGACAAACCCATATACTATGATCTTGACTATAAAAGATGTTGCAAAGGTAAGAGAGCCGTAGTTGTACTTACAAAAGAGACATGTCAACGTCCAAAAGCAGTTCTCTTCTTAGACTTAATCAAGAGGCTCGTCATATTTCCGATGATTGGCAAACTCGTGAAACCGATTCGGAAATAAGCGACAATGATTTCATCACCAAGGGTGCATTCCTATTAACACCTAGCCACGACTTCAATATAGAAAAGGCAGCGTCTATCTGTGAAAAAATGAACTTTCGGTAAGAATTCTTACATTAATATTTCTTTAATCAAATGCACTTCGATACGTTAGATCACTGACGCGCTTATTTCCCGCGTTTTTCAAAACAAATGATACTCGTTCCCGCTAGTTTTTTAATGGCGCCAAATTTAAAATCAATAAACATATATGAGACTGCTTCAACGATACATTTAAATCTTTTATACTATAAAAATTTTCAGCGGGGCATTTTCTTTAACAAAAACAGCTACTGGAATACTTTTTAAATTTAGCAACATTGACGATTATAACGCAGTGTATAAGAAAGGTTTTCATAAAGTAACTGGTGCACGTTTTTATAAAAAGGTAAAACTTGTACAAAATTATATACAATATAAGACTATTATTAAAATGAATAATATTTTTGACTATAGATTGCTATACCATGTAGACCAGCGAAGACATTTACAGTGTACGTATTAGATGTACCAGAAGAATTACCAGAAGATGATATCAGACATGCTTTATTTAAATACCGTTCTATAGTAGAAGTAACAAGAGTTCCTCTTGCAACTGGAACTGTTTGTAAGTTTAAAAAGGAATCTTCTTTATCATTCGTAGGAAAGATTATTTTATTATTTCATTATTTAATCAATTTTTTTATTATTTTCATGTATGATTTAGTAAAAGCTATCAATGATAGATTAAAAAATGAAGCACAATCTTTAAATGAGCCAGCAACAATTTACACTGGACCACCTGTTATAAGAGTTACTCTTGCTAGTTTGGAAGAAACTAGTGTATTGCTTAGTCAAGGCTTAGATTTTTATGGAGCAACTTATTTTCCTACAGACACACCATTAACTTCATCACAATCGCTTGTTAAATATAAAAACAATAGGTTAGCAAGCTATATATATATATATATATATGTATACGTGCAATGATACAGTGATTAATATTTCCTAAGTATTTATTTATTTTAGATGGAATGAACTTGCATCAATCTATCCTGGTCAAAGAGTTAGAGATTTACTACCAGTCTTTGACAATGCTGGCTTCGATAAGATTCCACCACCTACAAGTCGAATGATTAAACCACCAAAAAATTGATAAAAGAACAATTAAAGCATTTTTTGAAATAACTTTGCTTTGATATTAATTATGTCTCAATAAATATATTAATAAAGGAAAAACAAATCATTTGTAAATATTTTGTTTGTTTTTTTTTCTTTTTTAATTGTTTTTTACTGTCTTTTTACTATAACTAAACAATATTAATACAGGAATAGTCGATTAAATACTATAGGATGTATTTGAATATTTTTGTGTGCAATAAGTTGCATAAGCAACGAAAATAATAGTAAATAATTGCATATTATCCTGCTTCGTTTCTTTTGCAAGCAGCTTTTTTTTTGTGTGAATTAAATGTGTAACATAGCTACAGGATATGTGATCGAAGTATTAGGATTAATTATCCTAATTAATTTTCATCTTTTGTTTTTCTAACGTGTATAAAATATATGATATTAGCATATAAATCTGTTATAATAAGGGATTGGTAATTTAAAAATTTCATAATACATAATGCGACTTTTTTTTTTTTTTTTAGTTTTAAAAATATTATATAATATAAGTACCAATAAAAATTGATTCATTGGATTAATCGAATAGAAATATTTTAAAAACGTGTATATATTAAATTTTCTTTCTACCGAAATATAAATAGAAGTTGCATTATATAATTTTATAACAAAACATAGATACAAGATTTATATTGAATATATCTTTTTAGAGATTCTTTTCTAAAACACACTTCTTTTTTGATAAAGTATAATAATTTTTTTTTTTTAAATAAAGTGCGTAAGAAATATATATTAGTGATATAAATAATAACAGAGAAATTCTTGAAGTATTAATTATTTAGATGATAATTTATAAAACAAATGCTTATTCTTTAATAAGCCGAAACAAAAACGAAAAATATCTGATTTCATCATAACAAAATATAATAATCAAAAGAAAATCTTTTCAATCAAATAGTAGACTTTAATATGTCTACATTGTAAAAGATGTTTCCATATGATTTTTTTTCTTTTTTTTTTTTTTTTTCATATTACTTTAGATTTAGAATATATTAAAAAATTTTTATCATCACATTTAATGTGGATTCTTGAAAAACATTTTTTTAAAAAACATTTAGTGACAAATCGATTGATTTCTATTGCAATCGTTAATAATATTACGAACAATATATTCCTATCATTCATGTAACACCAGAAATTTATCATCGTACATGTTACCCACCATGATGTCAAATCTGTCTTTTTCTTGATCTCTCAATTGAGTTCATGAGTGCATGATTTATATATCTAGATCAAATATTAAGTCATTTTTAAATTCACCTTGATCTGAATTTTTATTAACTACTATTTCGTTCGTATCTTCTGTACTTTCCTCTTCGATGCTACTTTTACGTTTACCCGAAAGTAATTTTTTCGATTTTTTTAATTTTTTAACTTTAACATAAGTCTCGTTTTGTTTATCCGACGACTGTTTTTCACGACTGAGAATGGATTTCACATTTTCAGAAATGTCTGTTTCTGGTGTCGCTTTTGGAGTAACCTTATACTTATCACGTTCTTCTGTTTCAGAATTTTCACTTTCGCTTAATTTGCGCTCATGAGCGCGTTTCTTGTTTCGCAATTTACGTTGATTCTTCTTTCGTTGACCAAGAATGCTAGAGTTAGATCTGCAGAATTATATTTTATTATTTATCATTCCTCATCCTAATTCGTCTGTGTGTAGCGAGCTTTCTGAAAATGTGACATTTACCTGAACAATTGTCGAGATACAACGTTGTTAAATCGTACTGTCTTTTTCAGACTACAGCACTCCGACTCAGATTGTGGGTCGTGAATTGAACTGCATGAAAAATCTGCAGAAGAAATAACTATACCATTTTCGTCTGCACTTGATTCAGATACAGAACGTGAAAATTCATGAGTACGATGCAATTTTAATATCCCTTTCGACATACTACCACTACTACTTGGTAATTCATCTCCACTGCTTTCTGAGACAGATCTTGACTTTATAATACCTTTTCTATTTTGATTTACATTATTTTGTTCATCTTCATCATGTTCATCATCAGAATCCAGCTGATTAGAACGAATATTTATGATGATAGAATTATCTTCTTCTCGAACTTTCACTTCTAATGGTACTTCAGAATCTTTCTTTTCTGTATCCTAAAAGTATACGCTTATTGGATCATTCTAAATTTGCACATGTAATATAATAAGATTTAATAATCCCTTACCATTAGTTCCTTTAATCTATTCTTGAATGACAAGGAACTAGATAATTCTTTTCTTTCCATGAACTCTTCGTTCACGCCAACAAGATAGTGTGATACATTGTCAGAATTATTTAACTTAATACTAAATACAAGATTATTATCCCATGGTTCTATAATAAGTGAATCTTTTTCTATAAAACTTTCTTCTAATTTAACGCATAAAGAATAATGTTGTGGGAAAAATCCTGCACCCATTGATGCTAGTAGAATATGTATTCCTGTGTTATTTTGTAAGATTCTATGTTTTATGGAATCTGGATCAACATTTTTAACATTGACTGTAAAAGCTATTTGATTGTCATACATATTACAGGCAAATGATGGCAGTGTATATTTTATATCGGAATTCATAAAGGGTATGATAGTTTCTAACGAATTAGTAGTCCATAACACATTGTTATCTGAAGTTTCACTGTTATTTATTGGTATAGTTTTTTCTTCTAGCATTAAATTTGAAAGGGAATCACTCATAGTTGGCTCCATGGTAGATAAATTTTCACTTAATTCGTTGGATACAATAGGTAATGAGCAATTGCTATCACTGTCCATGTCACTGTCTTCTTTCTTCATTTCTTCTAACATCACTAATTTACGAATGACTGGTAATACTACTGTTAATTTTTTATATTTAGAATCAAACTTGGCATTACCATGATCTTCGTCAACACTATATGGCAGGGGTAAATGTAAGAAATATTTAGCAGGTGTTTCACTCTTCAAGTAAAGTGAGCGTTCTTGAATATCTAGAACAGCATCCGTTGCCTTTCCCAACAATGGCAAATCTATTATGATAACTAATTTTTTAGGAACAGTTGCATACATTTTTCCATCTCTACTGTCAACAAAATCTTCCATGTCAACATTCGTCTGATGTTTTACCAAGAATTTTGGAGTGACATATTCACCATTCTCAGTTTCTATTTTGGATTCCTTGTTATTGTAATAAATGGTTTCAGGTGGTACACGTTTGGGCTTCTCCTCTCTGTATTTAAACTGTTGCTGTTCACGACTCTCATCATAACTGGACATAAGTTTTTGATAAATTTCTGGGTTCATGTCTGAAGATTGTTTAGGTGGTTCTTTAGACTGTTTTCTAATTACGCTTGGATGAGAGATACCTTTGAAGTTCATTTTAGGATACTTCAAATTCTTCCTGTCAAGTTGCACCTAAAAATAACAAATGATAATTGATAAATCCAGTACAAGATACATTAATATAATCAAGGATATACTAACCTTAAAATTACTTTCTACACCATCTATTGCAGTGTTATTAACGATGTCACGAAATCTAGAATTTTTCGATGCGAGGTAAATTGTGTCAGGATGAAATACCACATCGAAGACGAGACAACGAACATTTTTTTTATCAAGGTCATCGCGAGGAGGTATCAGAGTATATGGAATTGACCATTGTAAACCACGATGACCATCCTCGTATGAAGGATGACTCGTAGGTCGTGCAACAATGTCACTTTTACTAATATTTAAAAAACATTTCTTTTCTCCATTGACACTAGTTTTTATGACGTAACCAGGCTGGGGGTTAACGAACGTGACGTCGACGCCCCGTTCCTTCTCCAATTGTGTGATCTCTTTTTCATAAATCTTACGATTTTCTGGATCGGTCACTTCTTCCGCATATTCGATAAGTAATTTACGAAATTCTTCCTTTTTCAAACATTCTGTTAAATTTTTTAATTCTTCCCTGGTAACATCTAAATCTTCCCAATCTCTCTTACGTGATTCGTACGCGTCCATCTTACGAGGCAATGCGCATTGATGCGCGTGTTTACAAATAAACTTGATGGTAGAAGAATCCCGAAGCACACGTACACACACATACCTTTCGTACCACGTGGACTCCTGGCGCCACCATGCCGGCCGGCTGATTATTATTGACCAATCAAACATTCACTTTTTCAAATTTCGCGCGGTTCAAGCCTTTTTGAATTTCGCGCGATAGAAATTTCTTTCAATTATATTTATATCTTAATTTTCTTGTTTTTTTTTTTTTTTTGGTATTAAAAAATCGTAATGGAGGTGGCATGCGTTCGTCTACGATTTTTTTCACATCAAAATAATATATATCTTCCCTTTCGAAATATTTTCTTTATCTAATTGCAATAATTAAAAAGATGCACCAAAGTAATCGAAAGTAATGCAGATTATTTCGATGAATTAAAAAAGCATTGAATTAATTTCTATGCTTAATATATAAGTAACTACATGCATATATACACTGTAGAAATCATATCATTTGTCATAGCTTTCACCGAACGCATTTTTATTCGTATCAGTTGTAAGAAGACTTTCTCAATCGTATATTAATGTTTCCGACTTTAATAACAATGTTCGTTGATTCTCATTTTCCATTTGTCTATTTACGTAAATCTTATATTAAAATAAACTTTGTTTATAAATTAATAAAACACAAAGTGTTTAACATAATCAATAATTTTTGTTTGTCTTCTACTAATCGATGAAAGTCGAAATAATGATTTGAAGGAGATTCCAAAGTTCAGTCAGTTTGAATAGAAGACGATGAGTTCCAAGGACCATTCGTTTGACATTAAAAAAAAAAAAAAACGATGAACTTGATTATTATTTTATCCTGTGGTCGAATCTCAAATGAGTTTTGTGATTCACAGGAAAAAGGTGGGGAACCCTCGGATCTCCACTACACTGAAGACGTGGGGATCGGCCAATGCGAAGTCTCTGACCCACTGACATTCTCTTCAGTTACTCGGTAGACTTACACAGGAACACGGATAATCGAAACAAGAGCTCATAGGACGTCATAGGACGATCATTTTGAACATAATATTAAGGTGTCGTTCATTGATCGTGATGCGTGTTCATCGTGGTTTTCTTCCTGGCTTTTTTCTTGGTGTCACTCTCGTGTTCGTTTTTTTAAATTCAAGGTCAAGTACGATCACACTCAACTCTTCCGCTGATGTCACTATTGAGCCTCGTAATTTCGATAGAGAGGGTGCTCGTTTAGTCGAAAATTATGGATCCAACGTTAGCCAGGTGATCATGCAACAAACAAATAGAACATTTTTATTAAATTAATCATTTCAATTTCATACAAATTTATAGAATTTTAAGAATTTATAAAAACATTTGTATTATTTAATTGTTTCAATTGAAAATAATTTAAATGAAAATTATTTTTATAAATACACACATCATAAATGTAAGTTGTTGTCATTTTGAAGAAGTCACGATCCTCTATTCGACTTTGCTTCAATAGAGGAACGTGTCTCCAGTGAAAGTGCATCATCATAGGATGCAATCGCGTCGAGGCGATCTTCTCACGCTTTATATGTTTCTTTCTCACGTTTCTGAGGTGTAGATTTTTCCAATTGCAAGGCTACTTTTTTTTTTTAATACGTCCTTCTCTCTTCATCGTCTTTCACTATAAAACAATATCCACATTTTTAACAAATTATTTATTCATCGAACGTGTTTATCGAATGAATCACATCGAACGATATACTTTCTTTCTCTCTCTCTTATTGAATAGGTATGTTTATGAGTAAACCGGTTTAAAAGCGAAAACATGTGTTATTTATCTATCAAAAATTCTTCTCAACATGAGATAATTATTCAAATTTGAATGAATTCAATAAAAAGTAATTTATAAAAGGATATTTTCTATTTAATGTTTTTCCACATTTTTACGAAGTCACATCATTCTAATCAAATCCAACAGGTGTGTCTAAAGCTTTTCAATAAATCATCGTACGATTGTTAAACAGACATATCGATACGTCACGCCTTCCCTGGCTGAATTGGGAGGTCGTGGAAATTTGCCCGAGATGAATAAGCACGTACTCATGCTGACACGTGTACCTGGTGCCGGTGCAGAACTATTGGTGTTGATTCTGCAACGTTTACAAGGTTACAATGCCTTTAAACATATTCGTTTGCCACCTGGTGATTCTGGACTTTTGACAACGCTTCAGCAGGTAAATTTTAGTAATCTCTGCAAAAGAAATATTTCATATTTTATATATTGCAATAAATTAATTTAAAGTTAATTTTAATATAAGTATAAAATACTTGTTTACCAATAAAGGAAATAGTTGGTTGAATAAGAACGAGAAATGCATTTCGCAATGCATCCCATCTTTGTGTGAGACACTCGAGGACATTTCTCATAAATGGGAAACGTTTGAACGTCTCGATGAATGCATCTTGTCCCATCATTGCAAATATTTATAAATATCTGTTAATAACATGGGATAGAAGTTGCTTTGCTAAAAAAAAAAAAAAAACACTTTGTTATTTCGAGTAAACATTAGTTTTACGATTGAATTGAATTATACAATTTGACGCTGACATATATATTGACTTTCTTGATAAAAGAGCAAATGTGAATGTATCAGAGTAATGGAATCACACAAAGATCCGGAATACCGGTCGTTGATCCTTTCATTCGTTCAACAACTAAGACAAGTATCTCTGCTTTCGTAAGAAAAAGTATATCACTTTCGTTCACTTAACGAATATTATTTGCAATCTATTGGAATCTCTAGCACTTGAATACGCTATCTGGTGGCTAAATTTAAAATTAGAGTAGATAGGTCGAATTGCTATGCCACGTCCCTGCCAGAGATCCCAATATTTCGTTAATATTTTACGAGCTACGAGAAATTGTGAAGAAATTTCATTGTACGATGAATTGAATTTATGTGTCAAAATCGACAGGAACTTCTCGTGGAAGAGATTACAAGTATTATAAAGCAAGAAGCTATTCCATTGAGTTTCGATGGCGACGTAAGGTTTTTAAATTTTACGGAATTTGGTCGTCAAGCACCAACTTTCTTAGCATTAGTAAGGGATCCTTTGGATCCACGTACTTTATATAGGTAAGACATTAAATTGTTTTCGGTTGTAAAGAAAATTAATTTTGTTTTATTTTAAACATTTGATTTTCATTTGATTTTAAACAGATATCGGAAAGGCGGTGCTGCTGTTCTTTATCGAGGAACTATCTCTCATTTTTGCGGACAGGATCCTCGTTGCTCGTACGTATATTAACGTTGACGTAGATATATAGTTATCCAATAAAAAGAGTAGAATAACCAGTTTTACGAGAATGATTAAGGATATTCCTTGAATCATAACTTAACTTTCGATAGTCGATTCGATTAAATGATCGCATGAATGAGATTACAGCAGAGAATATCTAAGATATTTGTTTCCTATCGTTATCATTAATACGTGGGATCATCTCGAAGTTAAGGTAAGTTACGTAAAGTCATTTTACATTCTCTTACTTAGCAAAGGTTGCGCAAGAGGATGACCATAGCAAGGAATGAAGATCAATGAACTGCTTCTACATACCGTGTATAGAAACTTGTGTCATAGTTGTTAGAGAAACTTAACTATTTCTGTTTTTTTCTTCATCTCATATAAAACGCGTCCCTTTTGTTTGAAAATGATTTCACGTGATAATGAATAGTCCTATCTGGTTAATTTTCTTGATATAATAACAGAAATATTTCAATCTATTTTTGATTTTTATCTTTTTCATCCATTAGTAAGAGAAATAACAAATGGGCGTTACAAAGAGCTAAAGCAAACGTTGTTAGATGGTATCCAGTGGTTGGTCTTCTCGATTACATGGAAGAAACTTTACACGTTCTCCAAAAGGAATTTCCTTACTTTTTTATCGGTTCTCTTCGAATATATAATAAGTTGCGTAAGTATTTGGATTTTTTTTTCTTTTCTTTATAATTTACTATTTACATTTTAAAGTCAATTTTATTCGTAGGACCGAAAGAAAATAATTCATCAAAACGTTCGATAAATCTCAAAGCTCGAACGAAAAAGATATTGGAAGAAGTAATGGCGGATGAAGTAGAATTTTACAAATGGTTGAAATTTCGATTACTTAATAAAACCTCCATGACGAGTTTTGATTGTTATTAAATAAAACGTTTTAAGGAGAAACTTTTAATTTGAACTCACGAGTTAAGAAGTTCTACGGTGGCTCCAAAACTTTATTATTTCGTAGCAAGCATAGCAGTCTAACGATTGGAAAGTTCCACCAAAAATCCATCGTCTTATCTGTAAAGTAAAATAGAACATAACGATAAGTTATTTGCAATATAATTGAATAAAATGTAAATAAAAACAAATACTTACAATGCATTACTAGTGGGACAAAGTTCAATGCAATTTTTACATATTGACGTATTTACTATTAAATAGTTAAATATAAATGTACAATAAAAACTATATGTAAATATAATAAATATATTGGGATCTCTAGCATTTGAATACGTTATCTGGTGGCTAACTTCAAAATTAGAGTAGATAGGTCGTAATTGCTACGCCACGCCCCTGCAAAAGATCCCAATATTTTATTTTACATAGGATAATGATGAAAAGTATTATCTTTTAACTTTGAACCTTTTGAACCCTTTAACATCTTTAACGTCTGTTGGTATGTGAAACGCCAGCTTTTATCATAGGAGTTTCTATTACATTTATTATAAGATGTGATTGATGCTTTTGGATAGCAGCAAACGGTAATGCATTATTTCATTTTCATGATTTTTCTACGTTTGATTTATTGAACATTTGTAGAATAAATACAGAGAATTGTTGAATTAAGAAATGTTCAAATTGATGTGAGTTATTTTCATAGCTCTCAATTTTTAATCTTTCTTTCTGTCCATTTCGCATATACAATCATCTCTTTTGAGAAAAAACTTGTACAAAAATGATTTTGTCTCTTTGAAATGTTATATCTTTGAAGATAAAGATACAGTAAACATTATGCAAGCTTTTCCAACATAAGCACACACACAGCGTGCTATACAAAGAGACGAGGCTATTTATTTACATAGACAAAAACTTAAAAAAAGTTACATTTTTTCTAAATAGAATCGTGCATGTTGTAAAAACAAAAGTTACACACTTGATAAACAAAAAAATGTTAATGTTAATGACGATGATACTAATTTTCATGTTTTTCTATTTCATTTCATTTGCTATTTAGAAAATAACAGAAATAACAAGTCCCTTTAGTATAGCAAACATTTGATCAATAAAAAAATATTCACATTGCTCGTATGACATCTTTTTTCATCGACACTATTTAAAGTTAAACATATATATATATTGAAAAGGGGAAAAAATTAAGATGAAATCAGGGAACATGAGAAAGCGGTTGAGAATGATTGCCATGAGGTGGATGCATGCAACAGGAGAGCAGTATCATGTTGATGTACAAAAAGACGAGCAACAACATGAGGAACGCGTGCCATCACTTCTTCTTTGCGTCCTTCAGTCCAGCACCAGCGTTAAATTTGAAAAAGATTATGTCACCATCCTCGACGACATAATTACGGCCCTGCTGTCTGTACTTTCCAGCAGCCTATTGAGCAATGGAAAAAGAATGTCGTAAATAGATATATATATTTACATATCCGCCAATAAATTCTAAAGTTATATCTTTGGCTTGTACAATTAGTACAGGTGTTTTAATTTGTCAGTGTTGCAGATACAGTAGTGTAAATAAATCAATACCTTAACTCCAGCTTCCGAGCCTTCATTTTTAAAGTCTTCGAATTTCATAACTTCAGCCATTATAAAACCTTTCTCGAAGTCAGTGTGAATTCTTCCAGCGGCTTGAGGCGCCTTTGTACCTTTCTAAATAATAAAATAATAATAAAAGTTAACGAAGCGAAAAGACGAGTCCAATCGTCACTTAGGTGTAGTCATATATAAAATAGAGTTAAGAAACTACCTGAATAGTCCATGCTTTAACTTCGTCATGACCGGCAGTAAAAAAGTACTGTAATTGTAATGCTTTGTAGCCTTGGACAATGATCTTGTCTAGGGCACTGTAAAAGATCCAAAAGAATTAATATGAATAATGTAAGATTAGATTTCTATGATATTTATTATTATATTTTTTGATGAGAAAGTAGAAAAGAGAGAGAGAGAGAGAGAGAGAGAGAAAATAAAGAATTTAATCACTCGCATTAAATCGATTAAAGTTGAAGTCGATAGAGCGGTATGTACAAAGGGCGACTATTTTAGTTTTGCGGATTGCAAAACGATGAATTCCCGTTCAAAAGGAGGAACGTTCAAAACGTTGGACCATGGAATATGATTGTCTCGGGCCAAATATCGTCTAATGACAGGGTACGTCGGGATGAGCTCTCCCACTTGGTAGGTCTCAACACAACTTCTCTCCAGACTTCAAGGAATACGCATAAAGCCGAACGACTTAATGCCGTAATATTATCATTCTGACTTTCAGAGACCTACTTCGCCGCCGCCGACGACGACGACGAAAACAAACGACGACAACGAACGACAACGAACGACAACGAACGACAACGAACGACGACGACGGCAAATACATACTAACAGATGTGTTCTATTTTTGACCGTGAAATTAAAGGTGAAACACTATTCCTTATTTCGTGTATACATTTTTCGTATAAAGATAGTTTTATTAATATCTTATGATAAAGAGAACTAGTATTTCAAAGGTGAGTTCAATGAAAACATATTTGATCGTATGCAAAGTTAAATCTACTTGAGAATAATTTTCCATTTGTAAAAGTTAACAATACAATGTCGTAGTCTCGTGTAAATTTGCTTGAACGTGGCACACGTGCATTGAACACCCTACGGGTACGATTGACCCACTAGCCAACTCAGCCGTTCTGCCTTTCGGCTCTCCTTCAGCACAGATTATACCCTCTTCTCTCCTGGGTACGCGCGAGGGCGGCGGCCAGTTTTTATGCAATTTCGTAAGAATTTGAATAGCTGTTCGTAAAAATATAATACGGTTCTCTAACTCTCTTTCTCTTCGTTCTTCTCATCGAAACAACCGTAGTTTTTATTAGTTTCTCTTCGCGTTAGAAAGAAAAAGGTAGAGAGAGAAAAAAGGTTGAGAAAAAGATAGAGAGAGAAAGAGAAAGAGAGAGAGAACTAGTCTAGACGTTCCAAGAGTCGTCCCCAGCCGTTATTAGTACGGTTAGAAGATAATTCGTTGCATACTTAAATGTGGGAACCCCCTGTTATTCCATGGACCTACGTATTTTTATCTCTTTCTTTATTCGTGAATTTGAAGAAAATGCGACTAAACGTTTCGACAATTTTTAACTTTCAAATAAAAATAATCTCCCATTTGTAAAAACGTACATTCGTCGTATCGATCAAGGATGAACAGATTTGAAAGCAATGATGCCTACCTAGTGACTTTGTTTTCCTCGAAATATTTAGCTCGTTCCGGTTCTTCCATGTCAAAAACTTTATTTTCAAATGCACCGCTGAAAGGAATGAGCACAGCTCCTGGATCATTCTTATCCACCCATTCTTTGATCTTGACTAACCTGAAACATCGTTAAGATTAGATGAAAGTTTCGAGATTTTTTTGATCGAACAAACAAATTGTTTTCAAATATATAATAGCGTGAAAGTGCATGATGTAAAATAAAAGATTATAAAAGGGCTCTGTGAATCATGCACTAACTTAACGTCGAGTATACGCGATAGGCTTACAATTCAACTGCACTTTCCCACGATATCATTTTCGCAATGCACCTCTGCAAATCGTTCCTGAATAATAGATCGACGAAACTATTGGAGTGTTAGTGAGCCCTCGAGCGTGCGTATGAATACGCGTTTACATGTCGACACGCACGTATAAATAATTCCGTTCTCTATAGTGTTTTGCAACGCGCTTCACCGTCCACCACCACGTCGATAGAAACGTGCGGAAAATGAAACGACGAGTATTCCTACGAATATCTAGCGATTTATTTTGTGAAAATAATATTATCTCTGTACAATCTACGTTTATCCTTATAATCAAGATTATTAATAGGATCTAAAACTTCGTTTCTTTATTTTTCTTTTTTTTTTTTTTTTATATTTCTATGAAATTAGAATGAAACGTACCATTTGTTCTTTTTACGAATGTAATCCTTTTCCGAAAGATTAACCAGATAAATAACTGGTTTAGACGTGAGGAAGAGATATTTGTTGAGTACCTCGATCTGCAATCAAATGTTAAAGACGATCATGAATGTGCGTTGTTATCGTAGATGGTACTATAACGATTGAACGAGCAAATTGCATGTTTCTTGCGACAATGGGAAGGAAAACTTGCAAACTTACGTCATTTGCGCTCCAATCGGCGAACCTGATATGCTTCTTGTCGTCTACCAAAACACCTTTAACTTTTAAAAGTGTATCCTGTTGAGAGAGAAAAAAAAACAAAAAGAAACACACAGGCAAAATACTATTAACGATTTGTAACACGCAAGTAGAATTACTGCAGTAGCGTACTAGTTAAAATCGACTTGAAATCAATCTCGACGATTGTTCGATCACGCGAGTTTTGGAGTTTTGTTAAATTGGAAAGTCGGAAATTGCTTGGAAATTGATCAACGAGAATCGAGGAGTACATTTGTTCCGAGAACAACTTTGTTTAGTCTTTTTAATTTACTCGATTGATTATTCGATAAAAAAATGATTTTCGTTAACACTCACGTATTCTGGTTTCAATTTCTTATCGTTACCACGAACAACCAATTTTTCCAATTTCTCAAGATGACCATTCAGAAACTCGACGTCCTTCAGTCGTAATTCTTCGCTAATTATTTCCAGATCTCGTACTGGATTAACGTCACCTTCTACGTGAGTAACATCGTCGTCTTCGAAAGCTCCTGTAGATATATACATACAATCATTCGTTCGATATCTCATTTTTCTCATTAATTTTATTATCAACATAATAATTATACAAATATCATGCTCACGGCAAAGATGAAAAATTCCATCGCAGGCACTGATGTGAGAAAGAAAAGCATTTCCTAAACCCTGTCCTTCGGCAGCACCTTTTACTAAACCAGCGATGTCCACTACGTTTAAAAATGCTGGGACTTTGCTAAGAAAAAAATACAACATTTCTTTTGAAATAATTTCAAACAAAAAAATGATTCATTTATCAAGTCTCTTAAAGGAATTGTTCGAATGTCTCTGTAAAGTTAAATTTTTCAAATACGTTCACGTTGTCCCCCCTCCTATTGATAAAGAAAAGAAAGAAGAGATAGAAAGAGACAGGGAGAATTCCGATTAAAGGTCGAGGGTGTACGGTGGTGCCCATGCACGTGCGTTGCATGGAAACGAGGGTGAGTAGTGACAACGAGGCACATTTAAATGCTAATGCCAGCGGCCTCATTAAATAATTAGCCTTTGAAGAGAGGCGCTGTGGAAAAGCAAACGAGAAGGGTGGTGGTGAACGCGTTATAGGCGGCTTTCATCACAGATCGCCGAATTCTCGGACACGTGCCATCAATGAGAGTATACGATACATCGTCAATGAAAGTATGATGATGATCGTATTCGAATAGTTCCAAAAGGGGGACAATAAGTTTCACTTTTTTATTTATACTTTTTTATTCAACATTATTTCTCATTGTTATAAATCATTTTAATTGAAAACAGATTTGATTAGAAAAAGAAAGAAATTGATTTGATACGATAAGAGTAATCCTTTAATCGAAAATTTGATTTTTTTTTTTCAATCCTTCTGCATGATCCTAACTGCTTTGCATTTTCAATTTCACCGAGTCGTTGTGCAAGCACGACGATGACGCGCGACAAGGTAAACACCGTTTTCATCGACGGTTAGCCGCGTTGATGGACACCGCAGCACATACAGCGGTTTCCGCACGATTCAAAGAGAGATTGTGTGTGTATGTGTGTGTGTGTTTGTGTGTGAGAGAACTAGCATGATGATACTCTGCCCGAGTTGGGAGTTTTCGACATATATCTAGGTACGTACGAGCATCTCGTTGAACCATCGTTGAACCATCGTTGGTGACTATCAACGCGACTATCCGTGTAAATGCGACCCTTTCGATCGATTTTACTAACTCTATCTATCTATCATCTATCTCTCTCTTTCTTTCCTTGTTTCACATGTTTCGATTGAAATTTTTCATTGAAAATGATTGATAAAAATTAATAAAATAACAACATTACAACGTTATAACGTTAAATACGCTTTATTAGGAATATTATTACCGCTGTACACATGCGTAATATTTGGAAATGAATTAGTCGAAATAAATTATATAAATAATTATATTATAATACAAAAAAAAAATAATAATATTCCTAATAAAAAGTATTTAACATTATAACGTTCTGATTTTAGTATATTTTGTGATGACTTCGAGGGTTAAATTATGCTATAATATAAGAAGAGTATATTAGAATATTCAAATAATTGTTAATTAATCGAAAGAAATGTGTATTGTTAATAAAAACCACCAGGTATATGATCGCAGTAACGTCTTTCTCGGAATTCACCTTTAGACTGACATATAAACAACATTTAATATAAGAATTTTGAAGAGTACGGTACTCCGATCATATAATTCGAGTTTTTCGACACCATTAGACACTTGTATTCATTAATTAATAATTATTTTAATATTTTAATACACTTAACTTATATTACAGCAACATTTAACCCTCGAAGTCATCACTGCGTAGGAGTGATAAATTAATTTACATTAAAATGAAAATAATTCTTAAATTAAAATAACAGTTGCAATTTATAAAGTTGAGTAAAGTCTTAGCAATGGTTCCTTCCTAACGTCTGTAAGAGAAATTTAGGTCAATCTGCATTGCAGATCACGTGCTACGAAACGTGCACCCTACCTCTTTTCGTTTCGTTTCTTTTCTTTTATTCTTTTATCGTCTCCTCTCCTCGCGAGAGAATAAAGGCGAAGGAAGTATGGAAATGTCGTTGGTTATTCCGAATCGTTTACTTTTGCAAGTGTATATGTACGTAAATACGTAAGAAAAGTAAAGAAATGTTAGATAGATTCTTTCTATTCCCTTTTCAACACGACGATAACGTATTCGAGAGACATTCGACTAGCTAGCTATGATCAAATAATGTTTGCACGATTGCTTACCTGGCCGGTTTGAAGTATTCGCATAAATAGTCGTACCTTGCGTCGGGTACTGGTACACGACGTGCCTTAACAAACAATTTCAAAGATCATACTTTTTGATAATCATTATATTAATATAATATTAGAATATATGTTGATTAATAATTAATAATTCCAGTAGAAGGTTAGGAAGAATCTTCAGGATCATCTAAAATCTGTGTCGGTGATGTTCGTCGGAATTTAATAGAGCTTACTCGTCGTATATCAGAATTAACATTAATTCTCATTTTATAATAACTCGTTGGAATTTTTAAATTAGGATTAAGTTTATGCTTCATGTTACAAATCGTCATTTCCATGATTCGTTTACGAGCTTTCATACGTTCGCTAACTTTCCGATAAATATCCATTTCTTTAAAAGTACAAGATACATTACGAATTTTGAAAAGAACACCCATGTAAATTGCTGCACTAGCAGCAACAGACAAGCCTGGAATTTTTGGACGAAAGACTGCAACTTCGTTGACAGCTTTTATTACACATTTTGCTACCGTTTCTTCTAAATATCCGATAATTGGTAATTTATTGATATTAATGTCGGGTATGTTGAAAGGAAAATGAATTTGTATGTCACAATATTTCATCCAACGTAAGAGAAACTGATCTTGACAATGTTGGCTGCAGAAGAGATAGAGCTTGTCGTCATAGAGAACAGCTAAATCGATTTTGCCAGAGATTAGATTTCGATTGGGTAAACTGTCGACGTAAGTAACCAAACAGCATCCATTAGCTTGCAAACGTCTTGCCCAGCATGCGTGGTTCAAATCGATCGTCTCATCTACGATTCGTGGACGAATTTTTGGTAAAATAGTTGTGTTCATTGGTGGAATATATCGAAGTGGATCTTTGATAAAATCCTTTTTGTGTTTCGTACATATCCAATAAAAATATTCACGAAATTGTACTACTCCGATACGATCGATCAGTCCACCTGAAGAAACTATACTGTCATCGAGTAATAGACAAACAGGACAATACGATTCGTAAATACTTTGACATGATTTGAATTCGTAAGGTGATACACACATATTTTTTAAATGATGAACTTTGTCGTAATCAGCTTCACGAAAGTATCGTCTAATGTTCATCAATTTTTCTCGTACCACTTGATCGGCATAAGTCCATACACCCCACTTGCTGTTACTCGCATCTATTTCAAAAATATTTTGCGAAAATTTCTTTAACCAATCACGATAATTGTCTTGATCAATTTGCCACTGATTGTAAAGATGAATCAAATGTTCAACACCAAAGTCCATCGGTTTGTTAGCTTCCTTATTAACGTAAGACAAACATTCCAAACAGAATTTCAAATCAGCTTTAAGATCAATGACGATCATTGGACGTATATGGAGAAAAGCCAACTCTTCGGATTGTCCACGATTACATGGGAATCCATCGAGAACGTAGCCTTGAGAAGCTGTGCGTGGATTAATCGAATACATTTCAACAGCTCGACTCATTAATTTATTATCAATAGTAACGTTATTTTCAAAGTTTGATTCAATTTTTGTAGCTAAATTGGTCCACGGATAATTACTCGTTACATATTGCAAAGCTTTATCGATTGAAATTAATTTTAAACCATATGTTTCGGCAAAACGTTCAGCAAGTGTTGTCTTTCCACATTTAGGTGGACCAATGATGGAAAGATTCATTGAAATGAGCGGTGTCACTGAATCTTGTTCAAGATACTTCAATGGATTTTTAATAAAAACAGATGCAGCATCTTGACCACATAAAAAATAAATATACTGTCGATGGATCACAGGTATCACTTCATCTTTCGCTTCCATTGGTAAAAACATTTGAATTGGTATTTTATTTTGATATAATTGAACCGGACACCATCGACCAAATGTGCTTAGAAAATAATATCCACATTCTAAAAGACGTTCGGCTGTTTCCATATCGATGGAATAAGTTCTTTCGAACATTGACGTATCTCGAAAGACATAGTTTTCAAGATGTCTTTGTACTTGTATTATCATTTTGCGCTCACTTTGTTCACCGTCTATTTCTATCCAAGGTATCGTTTCATTTTCCATAGAAGTACGAATGAATTGTATTTTTTGATGATTATTTTCATACATTTCTTCCAATTGTCTCGAAATTCTTTCTCTAGCTGTAACGATATCTTCCCAATCGATAAATCGCACAGGCTCAGTATTCTCTTCTCGCCAAATTTCTTCTAATTCGATTCTTTCGTTCGTACTTAATTCGAAATAATTATTGTTCATAGAAAAATCGTACGATTCATCTTCAAACATTTCTTCTTCTTCTTCTTCGTTGAACAATTGTTCACGTTTTTCTTGGATTATTTTTTCTATCCATTCGTCTCGTCTTTTAATATAATTATTCATTTCTTCGTTATATCTTTCATCTTCGATAAGTTTATCTTTTTCTTGTTGTTCCTTCCAAAAATGAAGATATTTCGGTAACAATCTTTCCAATGATTTTTCTAAACTACATTTAAGTTCGATTATTACTTCAGGTACCATACATTTTTCTAACATCATTTCTACATCTTGAGAACAAATTGGAAAAGCATCGAGTACAAGACCACATTTATCGAATGGTGATTGAAAATAATTTAAAAAACATTCACGAAGTATATACTTGTTTAATGTTCCACCATTTTTAATATATTCTTTGATAAACATAAATATGAAAGTTTCGTTTGTATTGTATCTAATATCGTTTATATCTTCAGGTAAATCAATTTCATCGAGTTCTGTTTCTTCAGGAATTATCAGATTATCTTTTAACGTGAAAGCTTTCATTCTTCTACTTGTCATATATTTTTCTAAACATTTCATATAATCAACGTGAAATAATCCATATTCTTTAGACAAAGCATTTGACAAAGTAGTTTTTCCACTTCCAGGTAAACCAATGACACTAATTCGTAATGGTGGTATCACCATTGGTGGTTTTATCAAAGGAATAGAAAAATTCGATGGATTATCAATGAATTCTTGTAATGCTCGTTCATTGGATAATAGATAAATTTTATTCATGAACATTGCACTATAATCTTCTTTACCTTTCCAAAGGATATTGTATTTTGTTAACACTACAGGACAATAATTATTACTGTCACCTAATCGACGATTATCCTTAGAAATGATTTGACTTTTAATCGATCGTGTTTTATCTTCATCTTCGGTATACGTATTATCTTGTATCATTTCTTCTTCCTTTATCAATCTTTCATTTTCTTTATCTTCTTCACTCATCACAGTTGCTTTCCAATCATAACGATCTTTAATTTGTTTAACAACGTGACTAGTAATATTTTTGATTGATCCGATCTCACAAAGTATCACATTTTGATTGAATTCTTTCATGTCATATCGAAAATTTCTCAAAGTTGATTGATAATCGTCAAGATGTTGAAGATATTTTTCTAATTGTATGTTTGATTCATCTTCAAACATATCATCGTTAAATTCATTTTCCCCTGATTCATAATTTGTTTGAAAATTTTGCCAATTTTCAATAAGATGATAATATGGTTCCTCTTCGAAAATGATTACAACGTCTTCAAAAATAATGTTACTCTCTTTTAGAATTTTCGTCCAAACATCAAATTCCATGTACATATCATCGATAACAAAACCACCGTCTCTATTTATTCCATCTTCCAATATTTCGTATGGAATATTTTCTATATGTTTAATAATTAAATCAGCTTTTTCATCGGTGCTTAATTCGATGGGTTCATCGTACAAATATTTGACAAGATTCTGTAATATATTGGAAACTTCAGGATCATGTTCGGTTAATTTTCTAATCGGTGGTTCATCTTCTCTTAAATTATCTGGTGCATAAGCATGCAAAATATTGTTATCCTTTTTTATTTCTTGCCAAAGACGATGGTCCGTTTCAACGTGTCCAATATTATTCTCTTGTAATATTTTACGTAATGATTTCAATTCGTCACGTATATCTTTGTATTGTTCACGCGGTGTTATGGTATTTTCAGATTGAACGATGTCCATCACACGTTGAATAGTCAAAACGATATCTTCGTACCATGCTTTAAGATCAGCTTCTTTTTTCACTTGTCTCATTTTCCTTTCTTTCTCCAATTTCATTCTCAATTCTCGTATAACATCATCGACCATTTCACGCATACCATCGATAATTTTATTATTAATGTAATCTTTTTTCAAATTATTTTCTAAATTATTAACATCGACAACCGTACCATTGAAAATTTGTGCCAATTCTCGACTCAACTTCGATTTACCTGAATATCTCGGACCGATAATTGCAATCTTGCAAGTTAAACGCGGATTGGGTGGTAATAAAAATGTTCTAGGATTGTTTAAAAATAATTGAAGTGCTTCATCGGATGAGAGAAAAAAAATATTGTTGAGAAATGTTAGGGAATATTTTGAAAAACCTTCGACGGTTCTTCCTTTGGCCAATTCGACCGGGCAATAAAATTTCCAACGCGACAGTCTCCAAGGAAACCTCAAACCTACGGACTCCTTGCTCGCCATTTCTCGAAAAGCATTCTCCTTGCTCATACCCTCGAGCTCCTCCTCCAAGGTAATTTGCCTTGTGTCTTCTTTTTCCTTTCCTCTTTCTTCTTCCTCTTCTTCCTCTACCATCCCTAACTCGTCGATTCGTTCTATCAACCGTTTTGGAAGTAACAATCGTGGCAATGATAATATACGCAAACGCACACTAACAATTTCAAACATTTGCAAAGGATTTGTACGACCATCTACGCGTATTACGTTCTGAGGATTTTGAAGAAGAATCCATTTGTCTATCACAGGTATAGCCAGACGTTTGTATAACTCGCATCGATTTTTCACATTCTTTAGAATTTCGTCCATTTCTTTAGAAAAATATTCTTTATTTTCTTTTAATGTATCCGATACATTTGAATCAGAACTTTGGATATTATCGTCGATATTATCTTCTGTAAATAATTGAATATTTTCAATAGTGTTCACCGACAAAGTGGAGTCTACAGATTTTAAGATCAACGAATCTGTTCTCATAAGTTCGTATTTTTTCAAAAGATCTTCGTCGGGACATATTATGTAGATAATGATAGATGGTTTTAAAGGCCACGTTGAAAAGATTTCATCGATCTGGTTAGGTATATCTTGTTCTGGATCAATTCTCATTTTGCAGGAGGATTTTTGTATATCTTCGGAATTGCTTGAACTCGGTGTTAATATCGTTTCACAGGTCGATAAGTGATCATTTTCCGTGTTGATTTCATTTATCATCGATTTAATACGTAATTCAGCGATTTTAGGATAAAACAAATGATCGACATTTGAATTATTAGGAATAAAAGGTAACCCTTCCAACACATAACCCTTATGTCTAACGTCTCTCATATTAATTCTATTTTGGATTAGATTTTGAATGATTTCGGAAGTTAAATTTTGACCGGAATGTAAAATTTGTTCAATGTACTTGCCCTTTTTCGTTTTAGATTGTATTTCTTGTTCGACAAGAGATTCCGGAGAAATTAAAACGCATTTCCAACCGTCGGCAATCATCATAGCGAGTTCTCGACTATTTACACCTGGCTTTCCGAATATAACAAAAGATACTGGTTTCGTTTTGAGATATTTTATTCTCGTTTCTTCCTCGGAATAAGGATCGCGGTGGACAAAGGGCTCCGTTGGTGGTTCAAAATGCGCTTGATATTCATTTTTCGAACATTTACAGGTATTCGAAAATCTTGTAAAGGGATTTGTGTCTTCGTTAAAGGCATAGTAAATGTTGGCTTTTGGATTAGGAATTGAATGAGCTGGTGGCCAAAAGGGAACGTATTCTTGACGAGGGTAGCCCTTGACGAATCGTAAGAAACTTTTTCTTAATATGTATGACGATGTGACGTAAAATTTATTCTTTTCCTTTTGACTATCGTTTCTTAAGCGTTCAATCGCTCGATTACACATTATTCATAATCGGGTTATACATATATATATATATCAATGTTATAAATAAAACGTTGTGAGTTGAAGTAAGTTACGAACAAACGAAAACTAAGTATTGCCTTGACAAAACTTTGATCAGAGAGAATAATAAAAATGTATAAAAATTCAGATACTTATTTTCATTCGGATCGATGGTGCAGAAAGGAAAGTTCTCCGCCGCTGCTTGACTTTTAGTGAGTACATTAAAGAAGGTAGACTTGCCGACGTTTGGTATTCCAACGATACCAACTTTTAAATTAGTCCCTACTCGTCCTATGAGTGGCTTTCTTTCGGGTTCCTCGACTTTTTTCGGTGCCATTCTGTAAAAAAAGAAAAAGCAGCAAGAAGACAAAATTGGTGGAGAACGGAAGTAATTAAAAATTGGCGTCGCGCATCCTTCGAGGAAGAGGTTGGTTGGATCGTCTCGATCGTTTTACAAGGAGTCGCTTGGAAGCGCCTGAAGGCGCGAAATCGAAATACTCGAAGAGGGAGGAAGGAAGAGAGGGAGGGAGGGAGGGAGGAAGGGAGGGCTCTCGAAGAACGCTCGCGGTGACTAATTATATTAATACGAGAACGGCACGTCGAACGATCGCTGTGTTTACCGGCGATCCATGTTCTCCTCGTGGATCTTTTACCGATATCTCGAGCGAGGGAGGAGGAAGATGGCGGGCAAGCAAGGATTAGTGGGCAACAGAGCCGCGAATCACCGGCATCACAAGGAGAATCCGCGAGTACGCCCGAGGCCGCCAATCCGCCACCGTCTACTCCCGGTTCCTGCTCCCCTTGCCCTACCCCTCTTTTTTTGCTATCGCTCTTCTTGCTATCTTTCTCCTCCCTGCTCCCCTTTCTTGCCACGAGATCGTGCAACCATCGTCCTCCGTAAAAAAAAAAAAAAGAATAACGACCAAGGCGAACCAACCGCGTTGATGTTTTTCATCCTTTTTTTTTTTTATTCTTTTTTTTAAATCCTTTTTTCATCCTTTTTTCATTGCTATCCCGAGGAAATTTGCAAATTACGATAATGGAGAAGCCGCGAAAGAGGTTCGGTCGCGGGGCGCGATGCTACCTCGACGAAGAGCCGCCGCATCGTCGCACCACTGCACCACTGCACCGCAGCATCACGCCGTGACCGTTCCTCCTCCTTTATGACGTCGTCTTGCCCACGGGGATCTATCTACGTACGATAATGACCGACCACGGCGTTTCTCTTCGACGATCTCTTTTATTTTAACTTCTATCGCTAACTTTAACTTTCCAATTTTAAACTATTCGAATTTTATTTACCTACCATTATTAATCAACATTGTTTTTTACTAATTTCATATTTTGTCAATTTGAATTCTACCGCCTTTTTACTTTAAATTATTCGTCCAATCAGATGACGCACGTAGCGCTGATATGCACGTTCAGTGCTGCCCTCTGTCTTTACCAAAGTGAATCAATGAAGTGCAGAGGCTACATCTGAAAACTTAACCTTACTTCTATCACGGAAAAGTTTACGATTCTGACACTAGCGTAAAAGATAAGACGGCTCGTTTTATTCAGATTTAATAAACAAGTAATTACGAGAGATTTTGAAGAAACTTATGCTCGTCGTCGACATCTTACAAAGAGTATTATTAAACTACTATTGAACGATTGAACACGTTTTTATCCAGGATTCCTAGCATGAAATACGAAACACCTTTAAAATCAACGACGCCTTATTTGTACGCTAAATAAATGAGTATATTTTTTCGTTAATTCGAAATACCTTGTTTATTTTGTTCTCGGCAAGCCACGTACGATGATTTTTCTAGCACAACGTGTCGCACTTTCACGATGGCAAATACACAGCACACGTTGATGACGTCAGACGACTTCGACCGGCAGTCTCCCGCTGCGAAACAGTTTTCTATTCTATCGACACAGTCGTGTTGTGCGGCCTCTCCCTGACCAAAGGTAATATTTCCTCTTCTTCTCGACAATCAAATTTGGCGCGAATTTCTACGATATGATTATCATATCATTATTATTTATATCATATGTATTAATTGACATATTATTGTATCATATTTATAACAATAATTAAACATATTTTTATCGATTCTATGAAATTTAGGTTATCTTTGTACATTGCAGAAAATACGCTTGTACATTTATTTGCACGAAACAACAAATCTTTTCTCGAGCGAAATTATCTTTATTATCACGAATTCCTTCAGGTGTTAATCCTTTGAGTATCAAAGTCCTTCAGGAATCAAGGTGTAAAGGGTGGTAAGAATGCAATCAGTTCCCATGCAAATGTTCAATTGTTTATATGACATTTTATGGAATAAATTTGTAGGAGGAAATATTTCTGACTCGTTTCACCGACAAAGAAAGAAAATAATTCCTTTTTCTAAATGGTTATAAAGGATAGTATAAGGAAGGAAAGAAATTTGAAGGATTCGGATCGCGATTATCCGAGTCTAATTCGTGGTACGTGCGCGCGTATGGGATCGTGAATCACCATGGAGGAGAGCCCGTAATTCCTGGGATAATATTAAGATTGCCGAGGAATGAAATAAAAGGATCGAAGTTGCGTATGTGTTTTAGTGGCGCCGTGAGATCGGCAAGGGAAAAGGGCGCGCCGGCTGCGACTACGCCTTCGCGCGTGGAACATCATTCAGCCCCTTTAAATAAGATCCTCTTTTCGACTTATTTACGAATTTCAAATTAAACGTTTGTTTTATTTAAATACTCTCTCTCTCTYTCTCTTTAAATCGTTTCATTGTAATATCAATAATTGTAATAGTATTAACGATTAACATGAACAGATTCAACACACATAGATAAAATTTCGATGGAAAAGATTTGTTGTTTCTTCGATAGATATATATATATATTTGTATTAAAGTTTGTAATCGATTAGAGATAGATCAACAAAATGTTGAGTAAAAGATTTGACACGTTTGGAAAAGTCAGCATTGTAAGTTACGATCGATCGATCGATCGTTGGATCGTTTGTTCGTTCCTTCGTTCGTTCGTTCGTTCGATCGTTCTAACGTACCGCGAATCGTCGTTGCGCCATGTGATTATTTCAATTATTTTATTACGTATCGTATCAATCTTGGTCCATATAATGCATATAATCAGGAGGCCATTATTCTGCGAACGCGCACGGCCAACGAAAAAGGTCCTCCTCCTCCTCCTCATCCACCCTTCTTCTCTTTTTCTCCTTCTCTCTCTGTTTCTCTGCGAGAGCTTACCCGCACACGATCTCAACTCGCTCGTTTTAACGATATTGTAATTTGGAGACCGCAAACTCGCTGACGTCACTGGTTGCACTCTTGAAAGAATAACATCTTGCTAGCGCGTCGGGGAAGACGGAGGAGAGGAACGATCGATTCTCCCTCTTTTCACCATACCCTTTTTCCCCCTTTTTCAGTCGATAATTTCGATGAAAAGGATATTAGCGAGCTACGAATTATAGGAATTTTGATGGGATTAGATATTCGCTGAATTGAAGGGATTGCGTTACTAATTTCTTTCACAACGATCTATGTGCCGATCGTTACGCCGAGATTTATTCCTTCGCGAAGGCCACTGCCGTGGTGAGATCAATGGAAATTTTTATTTCTTTCTCATCTGTATCGAATATTTTTTTTTAATCATAAATTACAAGGGCTATAGTAACGACTCAATTTTACTTTCAAAATTGGCTATAACTTTATAAAAAAATACTCATCATGTAATATATTTATGTATAAAACACATAGACGAAATGAAACATATACAACGGTGTATATTTCGGTATAGAAAAGAAAGATTAATGGTCTACTTTTAAGTAACCATCGTAATGTGCTCTTGGCATAGTACAGAAGAACCTACAGAAGAAAATACGTTAAAGACATCATCGTACAAACTAATATAATACTTACACGCCTCTTAGAATTCTCATTGACTTACCTTTACTTATGGTTCTTATGGTTCCTTTTTTTGGGGTGTCGTATAAAAAAGAAAATTATTTTCCTTCTTAATTGCACCAGTAAGATGCAAGTGAAATATAGTTGAAGGAGATGAATTTTCAACCCCTACGTTGATGCTTTTTATACAACCAAAGACAGATGGTAAAAATGAAAGATTCAATGAAGCCAAGTTAAACCATAATTAAGGTAATCTCTAAAGATACTTCCGTGGGACGTTGATGTAAAAAAAAAAATATCAGCAGCGTATAACAACGTTGTGTAATAATTTACCGACAAGTCGGACATACCCTAGCGATGTTCCATCGGTTGCATTACGAGCTCGTAAAACTCGTTGCTGTTTCTGCGTTACATCCGTTCTTTCTTACCTTTTTACGAGGCAAATGAGAGATTATAAGGAGTATTCTCTTACACGAGTTTCACCATCTTATGCGATACCTCCCCGATACATCTTTTTCCATCCTTTTACTCTTTTGCATATCCGTATTTGGCAAGTAAAACGTAGACGCCAGATGGAAAAAGAAAGTTAAGAAAATTTCAGGGTCGGTCAGTTGGAAAGGTGTATGTGTATATCTATATATATATATATATATATATCGTGTAATAATAATTTGAGGGGTTGAGTTGTGAGATAGATAATTAATTTTTTTTTTATCTATTTATAATCTTTATGTAATTTATTCCTTTTTTGCGAAACATATAGATATACATATTATAAATCTATACAACACACTGTGTGCAGTTTCATCCAACTTGAAAGACAGGATAGTTTATATCTTAATCTCAATTTATAATATTCGCAATATTATTTTATTGCGAATTGTGAGTCACAGCAACGCGTGGCGGGACACCCCTACTTATATATATATATCATATAGATATATTTAGTTGTATTATCATTTTCATTTTGTTTTGTTTTTTCCTTTAAGAGGTAGAATAAAAAGAAAGGAAACTTTTACATATCCGAAAGCTATAATTCTCACGTACGTAAGTCTCTAACGAGAAATAGCAAGGCGGCAGCCATAAGAAGGAAACCCTGATAATTCTCCGAGCATGTAGACACGCAATTAAGGTGTAACGTTTCGAAGTTCTGCTCGTAAACAACGCGGGCAAAGTAGCGGAACCTCCGAGACTCGATTCCGCCCGTCAATTGTTACCAATTGTTGCCAATCAGAGTAATACGTGTGATTAGAGCGAGAAGGTTGCCGGCACTGCACAGTACCCTGCCATATATTGCTCTGATTACACCGTATGCTATATTAATTTCGAATTAATTACGTGCCATCCTTTGGATTCATGCGGTAGCGCGCGCGTACACACACACACACATACACACACATCACGAGCGAAATCGACTAACAATAAGTTTTACAATGCGTTTCATCCTTCCGATAATTAAGTAGAGTATATGTATATTATTCTCTCTATTTTTTTTTAATTTTTTCTCTATTGTAATAAAAGGAACATTTGCAGTGTTATCGACACCTATTGTAATAACAAAAATTTGATTACGGTCGTAAATTTAATCGTATCTTTTGAAACTATTTTAAACGATCTATCGAGATTTTAATATCTCTTAATTGTTACGACTTTGTATCACGAATTTTCTCTATTATCATTTACGACAATACGCGTACTTATTTCCTTTACTTTTTTTTAAAAATTTTTTTTATCATATTCGTCGCATTACGTCGAGTAATTTTAACGAGCATTTATCTTTTCTTTGTGACTATCAAGAATCGTGCATCGGTGTTATTAACGTTAGAGATTGTTGTTAGATAATCAATAATTACCGCCTCATATAGGTACTTTATATCGTAGTAACTAATTGCAACAATTGTTTTTTTTTTTTTTTTTAATATTATATACGATGCTTATATTTTAACACGATTCAACTGACTTCATTAATGTCAATATATATATTTCTGTTAATAAGTTTCCACATTAGATGTATAATAATATTGTACGGTGAAATTTTAAAATGGCGGGGTAGAGGTTACTTTAATTTCATCTCGTCATTTTCTTCTATGGTAAAAAGTAACATGTATGTATATGTCTACTTATACAAATGCTAATCGCTCACGAAACGAAGCAATTCGAGAACGATTAGCATACGCACAAGCATTTTCTTCTCATGAATCGCGTCCTCGTGGTCCCGCGATCGGAGTAAGGGCCCGGCCCGGTGATTGGCAAAAGAAGAAAAACAAGAAGAAGAAGAAGAAGAAGAAGAAGAAGAAGAAAGAAATCGATGCGTTCGTGCATCGCGTGGCTGAAAGTGAACCAACCGGTGGCCACGCCTCCTTAGACAGCCGCCAGCCAACAATTAAGATTTGATCGGCAAAAATGGTCGAGGCAAAATGGCGCTGGCCACTGAATACGTAATGTCGAACGGAGCTGAGACACGCGGCTCTTCGAGCCTTTACTTTGAATTCGCATTTTAAAAAGCCCTATCGTTCATTCTTTTCTTTTTTCTCTCTATAAGATTCCTCCTTACGTTGATTTATTTATACACCATGATCGTACGTTTTGACCAACTCTAGTTGAGTAACCAACAACCATTGTTCCAATACTCCTGTACGAATGCAACCGATCGTGCATACCTGTGTGGTACATACAAACGGCACGGTGTTTTCAATTTCCAAGAGAAATATTGTATCTATTATAAAATACGATTGCATGCTTATACTAATGAAAGTAACTAGTATATCTATAGATAGATAGATAGATAGTAGGATACAAAGAAACGTATATCCGATGGCGGAATTTCGCGTTTTGCATGGCCATCACGTTGCGAGGAAGAAGGTGGTCGTGGTTGAAGAAGAAGGGGTCGAAGGAGGAGAGGAGGTAGGATAAAGGTTGGAAATAGAGGGAGAATATAAATCATATCGATAGAGACACGCAACATCG